AAGTGGTTTCCTATTTGCAAATCCAAACGAGTCGCCGCTATCGAGTGGTCGATACATGACACGTTGAAACGGGGAGCTCGCGGCGATTGGAATGCGCAGCGAAAGCTGGCGCGGCCTAGGGAATGAAACTTGAAACAGAGGAGCGAGTATAAAAAAGAGCACGTGGTTGGAGTTGCGAATATCCTATCTCGTGAATTCATTGCTTTTTCGAAGTGTAGACATTTCGCAAAGATTTGTACAGCTGGAGCGCATGACCTTCGTAGAAACCCAAGTCCTAGTAGTTACCCTTTCCCTCTGATAGTCTGCCGACCTCTATGTGATTATATTTCTATTACGTTACTAAAGCCTCGCACACTAACTCCTTAGTGTGCAATGCAAAATTAAAATGAGACACCCAGAAACCCGTTGCAGGTGCCCTGAAGTCGCTGACGCAAATTTTGGGGAATGTATTTGGAAACGCATGTGGAGGAGACCAAATACATTTGGTTGTTTTTGTATCTTGTACTTAAATTCTTTTTTGGAAATGTAATTAGATTTGTGATTAAATACATTTTTGACGAAGTATTTTGTATTTGTATTTCGGTAGATATTAGCATGTATTTTGCCCATTTCTGTGGGTAACAGTTGCCACTAGGCTTATCTGTAGAAGAACGGTATCTCAATATAGCCACTACACACCAGAGTTGTAGGTATCAGCAAAGAAAGTAATGAAATACATTACTCGTTAGTTGAAAATAAAAAGAATATGTTACCGATCTATGTTAGCTCAAAATAAAAGGAATGCGTTACCATTACGATCAAAGCAAACAGCGTACACAAACAGGGCGGAAGAGGGAGAACACACAATCGCCTAACTTGCCACTGGGGTTTAATCGTCAAGGCGCAACCTTGTATTTGACGACCAACCACGAAAAAATATGCACACCCAATGACACATCAGTAGATTCCAGCTCCCTTATCCCGGTCACTGTCACGATAAGAAGCGGCAATGCCGTGACCAGAGAAATCATTGCACACCTAAGGAAGGTTGTGTAAGTGCCCCACCTGTTTTGTTATCTTGTAAAGAGTTACAATTTCTTGCAGGACGACAGCGACCGCGATAAGGGTGCTGGAATCTACCGGTGTGTCATTGGGTGTGCGTGTTTTTTCTTGGTCGTCAAATATAAGGTTCCGCCTTGATGATCAAACTCCAGTTGCAAGTTCAGCGACTGTGCGTTTTCTTTCTTCTGTCCCGTCTTTGTGGGGGGGTACATTTTAATCATTGTGCCTTACCAATACGCCCCAGCTCTCATTTTGAACAGTTACCATTGCCATTACCGATGAAAAGTAATGCGTATCGTCTTTGCGATACTGCCATTTGTGTTACAGTCCATTAATGGCGATGGTGTTTTTCAACAATGGGAGAAAGGACGTTGCTGTTGGTGATATTTTAAAGTGGAAGTAGGAAAAGAGATGCAAAAATTCATATGACTTGGGAATAAGATGTGACAAGTAACGTAAGTATGTTACCCGTTACTTGAAAAAAAATGACCGCATCTCCACGTGGTGAATGATGTTGATTGGGGCAAAGCTCTTGTGGTGCTGATGATACTGATTTTGTTCATAGGTAGTGCACTGCTGATAGTGCTGATTTTTTAGTCTGCTTGGCGTTTTTGACGCTTTGCAGCAGCTTTTTGCGCCCTGGTCTCCGGAGCAGCTTGCTGCCTGCATAGACGCTGAGCCGCAGCATGCCGAGCTTTTCATTGTTTTTTCATCCATGTCGGAAAGAGAATATGTAGTATGGAATGTGGTTATACACGCATCCGAGCATTTGACCGCAGCGCCCTCTCGTCTATCAACGTTGAGCCAATGCATGCAAAGTTTAACGCGATTATATACGCATTTGACCGCAGCGCCCTCTCCTGTATAGACGTTGAGCGGCTACATGCAATGTTTCATCCATGATATCCCCAGCTCTTGAGTTACTACCACATCTCGGAGCCGCCTACTCGTCCCGCAATCGTGGACGAGTGGTTAAGGTGATGGACTAGAAATCCATTGGGGTCCCCCGCACAGGTTCGAATCCTGTCCACCGAGCAAACATTTTTTTTTTTGTTTAAAGGGGCCATGAAATGATTTTAAAATAGAATTTCATCCACCGCATGTCGTAAAAGGTGTAAAGAAGAAACACAAAAACCCAAAAATAGGGAGCCAAAAAAATTATCTGCTATAGAACTTTTAAAAGAAAACTGGACTCTTTTGCGCCTTCTTTCCTTCGCCTTTTCACTCCGATGCATCCGCGGAAACGGAGCACAACAGCCGAATCCACGTCGCCTATTGGGTAAGAGCCTACCTCACCAGCACCGCGATCGTAAACAATAAACAGCCGGCGAATGTTTCCTAAAAGTTTTGTTAAATAATATTCAGATCCACATTTTGTACCATAATTAGAGATGTGTGGCGAAAATTGCCAAATTTGATAATGCTGAGAGCCAAGCGCCACCTATCGTGTGGTAAACGAAGCAACTACTGCGCGTGAGCAGTAGGGCAGGGCCGACTTCAGTTACTTGGGTCGCGACGACCGACAAACGTTTATTTCCTTTGATTTCCTTCCTCTCAAAACTCTGACTGACTGAACGTTTATTTTTCTACGTGTTCTTCTCGCGCGTGCCGACTTCAAGCAGCAAGAAAAAAAGTACTTAAAACAGACCACGGCGAACAGGAACACTGGATCCACAAACACCCGAGAAAAGCGACAATGGCCACGAATCTACCGACTCCGATGAAGCGAGCTGCTCAGAATATAGGGCTAGCAGGCACTCCGACTCGGCGCAGCGCTGCTTCGTCGCAAGACCATTTGCCTACGACCGGCTGGCGTGCTGAATGGAATATGCCCGCACTACCCTTGTGGACTCTTCCCGTATTGTAGTTAGATCGCTGACCTAAATTTTAGATTAAGAGGTGAGGTCAATCTCTTCCCCTTGTTTTCCGAGGCAGTGTTGACGAACACTCGTCGAAAAGGGACTCTCGTCGATTCTATCTTCTTGTTTTGTGTGATATAGAGCTGAAATAAACGCCGTATGGATTACCTTTGTAACACGGTATGTACACTTTGTTATTGGTATGCCATTTTTATTCTGACAGACTGCACGTCACTGTCGAGCTATAACAGTTCGTGGGAGGTATACGTGCGATGCCGGTCCAACCTTTCTTTGCCGAGTGTCGCATCAGTATCGAGTTGCAATCGTAAAGGATCGGTCCCAAAGCGCATACCAACAGCGCGAATACAGCACTTCCATCAAACGCGCGCGTCCGCTCCGAGTGTGAACAGGTATTTATGTGGCTCTTGCTGACACTCGTACTTCAAAGGTATCGTTTTTAACGTCGGCTCGCTCCTGCATCTCCGAGACCGCGAAAAACGCCACGGCAATTTGTTTCCACTTACGTCACTTTGCAAACGACTGACACGGGCCGCCTTTTACCAACAATGACAGTTGGGTTGACTTCTGGAGTCTTCACCGGAAGACTCGCTGCACTCCCCAACAGGCATACCGGCGTATGGGACTAGTCCCATGCTGTCGCTGTAGCGCAACATATCTAATTGAATTTCGCTCAGCTGCGATGCGGCGATGAGAGGCGCCGATTCAGAAAATACGTCGGTGACATCAGCGCAGTAAAACCTACCGGCGCACCCCAAATCGTCGCCGCTAACGCTCCCATTCTCCTACTGCCGAGAGAACTTCCGGTTCCGGAAACAGCTTACGTCACGGCTTGTTTTGCGGTCAGTTGGAGAGAAAGAAAAAGTCTATATTTCATTAATTTTTTCTGTAGAAGTTAATAAACCGAGAAGAAAACGGATGCCTGTTCGGTATTCAGTGAACATTGACGGTTTAATGTAAAAGTTATCTGGAAAAAGTAAAAAGGTGATTTCATGGTCCCTTTAAGATGACAGATGGGATGGCAATTGATGTGAGCACGGACGCCGGACGGACAAGGCTAGACCCTAAGGAGCTTCGCCCCTAAAAAGTATCTAACATAAGTGTGTTGTTCATTACTGCATAGAAGATGTAATGAGTATGTTTCTATGTTACCGAAAAAAGTAACGTGTTGCAGCCAAAAGTGCTATGTACCAAATCAACTCTCCGACATTGCATCACCATACCAGCGGTGCCGTTGGCGCCGCACATGCGCGGATGCTTCACCTCGCACTAATCCGGTCTGTGCGCATGTGCGGTGCACACCCCCGGTGTGGACAAAGGTCTACTTGTAAATGGCAAGCTGGTGTATAATCGCGTACAGAACAAAAAGAGCAGAGAAGTCCTTCGGCTGTCTTGCCTTGAGCGCAAGTTTCCCACCTACCGGAACACTTTGAAGTTTTGCAAGCCACGAGCGTGCACACACCGCCAAAGCACGGTGGAAGGCAACGAGCATGTGCTGGAGGCCAGAAATGCACAGTGGAAGGCAATGAGCATGTGAAGGAGGTCAGAAATGCACAGTGGAAGGCAATGAGCACAGTGGAAGGCAACAAGCATAGGATGGAGGCGAAAAACACACACTGGAAGGCAATGAGCATGTGATGGAGGCCACAAATGCACGATGGAAGGCAATGAGCACGTGATGGAGGCCACAAATGCACGATGGAAGGCAATGAGCATGTGATGGAGGCCAGATATGCAGAGTGGAAGGCAATGAGCATGTGAAGGAGGTCAGAAATGCACAGTGGAAGGCAATGAGCACAGTGGAAGGCAACAAGCATAGGATGGAGGCAAAAAACACACATTGGAAGGCAATGAGCATGTGATGGAGGCCACAAATGCACGATGGAAGGCAATGAGCACGTGATGGAGGCCGCAAATGCACAATGGAAGGCAATGAACATGTGATGGAGGCCAGATATGCAGAGTGGAAGGCAATGAGCACGTACTCGAGGCCAGAGGCTAACAGGATGAGAAGAGGAGGCCTGGAGGCCTTGATCTTTTCATTCTGTCAGCAACCACGGCAGCGAGGGGGTCGAGGCTCACCCTTTGCGGGTTCCAAACACCGAGCACAAGTAGTCCTGGGAGAAAGGCAGCAGGTCAGCAACCACCTTCACCTGCAGCTTTTCACGGACGTCTTCACCTAGCTTGCCTCCCAGTTTCCTCCTGCGAAGAGGCAAAAAAAATCCCCTGGCATAGATGTTTCGTCAGATGCAACAAAGGTGCGATAGCACTCGGTGAATCTTCATGGCGAGATGTGGGTCAAAAAAGAGCAACGTTTCCCAAGAAATTCGATTTTGGATTTTATGATGTTTTATTATTTTTTCATCTGCGTATTCAATGTATAAAAACAACTCTAGTACCGGTTATGATTGTGAAATAAGTCAAAACATGCATTTGAAGACCTCCAGGCAACCCAGAGCGGCATGAACTTCAGCAACTTTTCTTTGCCTGGTGCTTGAGGTTGCAACGTCGCCCGCCGTCACATTTACGTTGACAATTTGGCCTAGCCCTCTTTTCTCCAACGCAGTCCTCTGCAGCTTCAATTTCTCAAGAAAATATATTGGAAAAATATTATTTTCTGCCCTGCGAAAGAGTATTCGCGTCTCCAGCTCGACGCTCGCCCTTTCGCGGCGGAACCGGGAAGCGCTCTAGTGAGGGTCCCCAGATTCTCCAGCTCAGCGGGCACGGCGGAACTGCTCGCGATCATGGCTCGCGAAATGTCCTTTCCCAATGCAAGTGACACTCTTCACTCTCCCAACGCAGTGCTACAGCCGGTATGGAATTGTACCTTACTGGAAATTTTTAGTATTGCGCATAGAAGCAAATGCAAGCGGTGAGCATTTGTTGCGTGCGACACATTGTGCGTGCGCCTCATCGCTCTGCGCCATCCAAGACTGCAATTTTGGGCTCCACGCACGTGCAGTGTGGAACACGCAAAGCTAACGCAAACACACAGCGCTTGCGTCCGCTCGTGTACGCAATACTAAAACTCACTACTGTTTCAGCGGCTTCCAACGCCAACAAAACGTCCTGCAGTGAGCAGACATGCAAGCAGGTAGGCATTCCTTCAAACTTGAAAGGCTGAGATTGGCAAAACGACGGAGCGTAAAAATGAAAGTAACTACATGTTATGAAAAAATTGCTAATTACAAAAACAGCTTTTTTTTATTTCTGGGCATTTGGTATGCAAGGATATTTGCGGCGACTTGGGACGTTTTGCCGATCGTTAAAATTCGCAACATTGATAGCAAAATATACTTTACCCACAATAATGTAATTTTACATGAATTTCTCACATTAGATAGAATGTTTCATTGATTTTAGACTTTTTTAATTTTATTACTTGGTAATTAAAGTTGCTGCTATTGACACCAGTGATGATACTTAGCACACTTTTGATTGTCACATTTGTTTGTGCGTTTCAAATTAGGTCATAAGCAACAAATTATACTAGAGCTTGAAAAATTGCGTATTAATATATCTGAATTTTAATAATATTATTAATACAAATCGCGGCAATGTATGCCCCCAATTAACGCTACGATCACAACAAAAACACAGTTTAACCATAATAGTATTTCCAAAAAGGTATCAGTTCGTTTTCTATTCAACATATGAAAACCTCTGACATCGTTATCAAGGTAGATAAACAGTCAAACACTGGATGGAATATAAAGTCATATGCATGACCGTGTTGCTATAAAACACACACACACAAGCACTTCAGCTGTCTGACTTAGATTCCATCTTTGGATTGTTGCAGTGAGAACAGCGTATATTAATTTATATGGTTTGTGGATATACTGTAAAAATTTGAACTATTTTATTAATGTGCTGGGAAGAATGTTAAACCAATTAATCATATAAATACCCAAAAGCCATTAAAAGGGCCCACAGTCTATTATTTCCCATGACAATTCTCTGAGCGAGAAAAGGCAGCGAGAACGCACGAATATCAGCACTGATTTCTTCAACAACTACAAATAGCCTGGATCAAAATGTATGTCACAAAATAAAGTTTCCACAAACAACTTCTCTAACTATATAATTACAATGTGAGACACATCTTGAGACACATCTTGAGTGCGGGCGTCCGCGTGTGGAGCGCGACCCGGTAACGAAACTAAGCTGTGCAAAAAAAAAGCAAAAAAAAAAAAAGGTCTTTGTTTTTTTTTTTCTCCTAGGTCCTTGGGTTCTTTTTTTTTTTTTTTTTTTGCCGCCTGTCGCAACATGTTTTGTTTGTTAATAAGTGGGAACAGCGCAGGAAAAACCGACGAAGGACCAGTAGAAGAAGTGCACAGACACAGCGCTGACTAACAACTGAATGTTTATTTTCAAGCGAACCAGAAAGTAAACACTGGGTGCGGAGAGGAAAAAACACACAAACACGTTGGGTATGCGCGCCCCTTTGCTCAAGTCATGCCACCATAGGTGTGAGGACAGCCTGCTTTCACAGGTGTCTAGGCTGACCTCTGCGGGATACCCGGTGGCGATGATTGTGGGAGTGGCTGAGTCCCTTGTTAAGGTGTTCGGAGGTAGAACCAGTCCTAAGGCGAGGCAAAAACCGACAACCAGACCAGTGGTGGTGCCCTACATTCACGCCCTCTCACATCAAGTCAAGCGCGTGGCCAACAAGTATAAGGTGCCTGTGGTGTTTTCGGCGCCCCGGAAGTTATCTCGACTATGCTCCGCCGTTAACCGAGGGTTGAACAGGGATAACCACTGTGATGTTAACCACCGCGATCCGTTTGTCTCATGCGCAGTAGGGGTTGTTTACCAGATCCCCTTCACATGTGGTCGGGTTTACATTGGACAGACAGGGAGGTGTGTGAACGTGAGGGCGAGGGAGCATTCCCTTCCTCTCCGTTCCTCACCCTCTGGCCACCTTGCGGTACATTGTAGTAGGTGCGGCTGCGTTCCCCTGTTCAATGAGTTGACGATCTTGGCGCGCAACAAAAACAAGACTGCCCGGGAGATTGATGAGGCCTTTTATATTTTATCAAGGGGGGAGGAAGAATGCGTCACTGCTCCGTCGGTTAACTTGGGGGCTGACGAAGTGTTTTTTATCAAGAACTGTGGCAGACGTGTGTGAAAGTGATATGGCGTGGTAGTGTCTTGTTTTATCGGGTTCCCTCCTTTTTATTGGCTTCTGTGTTTTTTCCTCTCCACACCCAGTGTTTACTTTCTGGTTCGCTTGAAAATAAACATTCAGTTGTTAGTCAGCGCTGTGTCTGTGCACTTCTTCTACTCGTCCTTCGTCGGTTTTTCCTGCGCTGTTCCCACTTATTAAGATGCTTAACCAACTCGCCCAACTCTCTGCCATGTTTTGTTTGCTTAGGCCAGGGCTTCTCCGCTTATCTTATCACCTTGCGCGCGACCCCCCCCCCCCCCCCCCCCTAACCAAACTGCACTGTGCAAAAAAAAAAGAAGAAAAAAAGCTCCTCTTTGTTTTTGTTTGCTCTTAGTTCCGTGTTTTTTAGTTTTTTTTTTTGCCGCTTTTTGCAAGCTGTTTTGTTTGCTTAGAGGGCTTCGCGGCTTCTCTTTCTTACCTCCTTGCGCGTGTCGTCGCTTGGGCGCGACACCAAAGTCCAGACTGCTCTGTGCAAAAAAAAAAAAGCTCCTCTCCATGTTTTTTTTTTTTTTTTGCTTCCGTTGGATCTTTTCGAATTTTTTTAACGCCTTTTGCAAGGCATTTTGTTCGCCCACGCTGTCCATGCATTCGCGACCTCGCTGCACCAGGATAGAAAAGTGCGTTCATTTTACGCGCGTGGAGGGAGAGGTCAAAATTTTGACGTCCGAGTTGGGGGTGCGTTTAATACACGGGTGGAAAAAAAAGTAGAAATTTTTATAGCCGACTTGGGGGTTGCGTTTATTACGCAAGTGCGCTCATTGTGCGAGTATATACGGTAGATGTAAAACTCTAACCTTACAAAACTGATAAGCTTACACAACGCATTTCTGAATGGAATAGCATGCCCCAAGCCTGGTGATGACATGCGACCATAACCATTTTACGCAGGAGCTTGTTAAGTTGTTTGAGTAATCTCTGTATAATGATGCTTTCTCATTGTTCTCATTCAATGTTTTCCCCAATTTTTGTGAATTTGATGTACCCCCCTTATGTAATGCCTCACGCAGAAGACCTTAAAATAATAAAATGAAGAAAAAAAAAATGTGCCCATCCCATATTTTTTTGTGATTATCTTCAAATTTTGAGTGGGTGCTTGCTCAGTATTTTACGGTATACTAGTAGTATGAAAACACAAAGCAGCAGAGTAATCATAGAGCAAAGCAGCACAACGAAAACAATCACACTCACCGAATCGCCCAGCATTGGCTGGTCCTAGGGAAATGAAAGCAGCTGTACTGTGTTGCTGAATCTTTCAAGCTGACATAGACTCAGTGTTCCTTACATTTTAGCAAAAACGTCGGAGGAACCAGACAGTGGTGGGAGAGGATATGGAAAAGGGTTGAACAGGCAGTTGGCACCACCTTAGGCAAAGCACCGATGAAAACATCCTAGGCTAAACCTAGAAGTGTAAACTGCAGGTAGGGATCGTCTTTTTCGGAGAATTCCTTTTCCATTTGCTCCATTCAGTGCAAGTAGGTCTTGTCTTACTGCTTCCTTTCCTTAAACACGGATGGAAAGTACTTATAATGCAATTAAATGCAAAGGTGCAAGCGAGCTGGACAAGAATGACGAAAATAATCCCTGGAGAAGGGGAACGAGAGGGACAAAGGACAAACACAAATCTCCAAACACAGCTAGGTGACTGGTGTGCGACCTTTGTCCCTCTCGTTCCCCTTCTCCAGGGATTATTTTCGTCATTCTTGTCCAGCTCGCTTGCACCTTTGCATTTAATTGCATTATAATTATAACCTTAAATTGCAAGCTTCACCCTTGTTGGTGTTAGACTGGTGGCGGCTGATAAAACCCGTTTGCTCTACTGATGTCTAACCCCTGGTTAGCTCAATTGGTAGAGCGCTCCACCTGTAATGGAGAGGTCCCGGGTTCGATACCCGGACCAGGCGGATTTTTTCGGTCGCACACCAGTCACCTAGCTGTGTTTGGAGATTTGTGTTTGTCCTTTGTCCCTCTCGTTCCCCTTCTCCAGGGATTATTTTCGTCATTCTTGTCCAGCTCGCTTGCACCTTTGCATTTAATTGCATTATAATTATAACCTTAAATTGCAAGCTTCACCCTTGTTGGTGTTAGACTGGTGGCGGCTGATAAAACCCGTTTGCTCTACTGATGTCTAACCCCTGGTTAGCTCAATTGGTAGAGCGCTCCACCTGTAATGGAGAGGTCCCGGGTTCGATACCCGGACCAGGCGGATTTTTTCGGTCGCACACCAGTCACCTAGCTGTGTTTGGAGATTTGTGTTTGTCCTTTGTCCCTCTCGTTCCCCTTCTCCAGGGATTATTTTCGTCATTCTTGTCCAGCTCGCTTGCACCTTTGCATTTAATTGCATTATAATTATAACCTTAAATTGCAAGCTTCACCCTTGTTGGTGTTAGACTGGTGGCGGCTGATAAAACCCGTTTGCTCTACTGATGTCTAACCCCTGGTTAGCTCAATTGGTAGAGCGCTCCACCTGTAATGGAGAGGTCCCGGGTTCGATACCCGGACCAGGCGGATTTTTTCGGTCGCACACCAGTCACCTAGCTGTGTTTGGAGATTTGTGTTTGTCCTTTGTCCCTCTCGTTCCCCTTCTCCAGGGATTATTTTCGTCATTCTTGTCCAGCTCGCTTGCACCTTTGCATTTAATTGCATTATAATTATAACCTTAAATTGCAAGCTTCACCCTTGTTGGTGTTAGACTGGTGGCGGCTGATAAAACCCGTTTGCTCTACTGATGTCTAACCCCTGGTTAGCTCAATTGGTAGAGCGCTCCACCTGTAATGGAGAGGTCCCGGGTTCGATACCCGGACCAGGCGGATTTTTTCGGTCGCACACCAGTCACCTAGCTGTGTTTGGAGATTTGTGTTTGTCCTTTGTCCCTCTCGTTCCCCTTCTCCAGGGATTATTTTCGTCATGGAAAGTACACGGCACGGCCTGCCCTCTTGAAACACCCTGAATACATTAAGAGGCAAATCTCACAGCTTGTGAACAGGCAGGGTGGTAAAGAGGTTTGGCACGGCGCTGTGGGGAAGCACCGTCTGCTGCCTGGGCTTGTGCAGACCACACACCAGCTTGGCCAGGACCTGAAGGGCACAGAGAACTCGGTCAAGTGTACAAGGCTACAAATTCTGCAGCTTAATCTATGTGGTTGGGTATTCCACTTTTTCCCAACACTTCCTGGTTTGCTTCGACAACTTTATCCAAATTCCACAACTGATGTCCAAAAACAAAGTCTCCAACTATGAATCACGGCGACAATGGTGCACTATGGAGCCACCATATCTACTCTCGAAGAGAGACAAGTACTGCAAACTGAAAAGCCATCTCTTGGCCGTTTTTGCAAACCAATCAAACAGACTTCAGACACCCTTTGACTTTTGACTTTGTAATTGTAGGTCTCAATCATGTCGCATGTTGAAGAAAAAAAAGATGTACAGTGTTTTTCACTGCAAAAATAAAGTATGCATCGTCAAATGCTCAGTCTCTGTCCAAATGTAAGAGACCAGATGCAGAGATTTAAGAGCTAACTGTTATCTTATTCAAACCTTATAAGAGAATTTCTAAAATTTTCAATGGAAAAATAAGGCCCTATCTTGACAGTTTGTGCCATTCAGCCACATGTATTTGCGGGCTTTGTCGGACTTATTTTACCCTTGAAAACTTCAGAAATTTGCTTAAAACTTTTGATTAAGATATTACCGTATTTACTTGCATAACGTGCACTCGATTAATGAACACACCCCAGGGGTGGAAGCGGGCTAGAGCCTTTTGTATCAGGGCTGGGAGCAGCAAAAGTCCCACTTTGGAGCAGTTTTGGAGCAGTAAAAAGCTCGCTTTAGGGCAGCTCGGGAGCAGCAAAAATAAGTTTTGTAGCCGTAGAAGTAGGTTTTGCAGCAGGTCACGGAGGTCAAACAAATGTTTAAAAGTGATTTGTTGTTTCTAAATGTGAAAATGTAGCAAAAATATATGCATGCACACCCCAGAATAATTTTCAAGCAACATACATACACACCTTTCTATTTCTATTGCATTGAAATATGGAATATTGGCAATTTATGGAAAGGAAAGGCTTTGAGAACCATTCCGGCAGCAGGCAGAGTCATGATAGACTTTATATGGGAGGCCCCGACAATAAAAGCCTAACTTGAGCCACGCCAGTACAAAACCGTCTACTTATTAGACTAATTGTAAACATGTATCCAGAAAACTAAACCACTGCAAGGTGTCAGATAAACTACCTTCGCTGACTACAGTTTTTGTTTAATAAAGAATACACATGTTCAATCAGTGCTTAAAAAGCCCCATATCAAGTTTAGTAACAAAATGCAAGGCTACTGACATTTGACGAAAAATCAGATGCAAAATAAAATGTGTATTTTATATTTTTAGAATACCACAGTCACTCGTACATATGCAGCTTTAAGCATCGACTAGGAGAGCAACGAAACCTTATGTACTCCATAAAATGCTGTGCATTGCGTGTCTCCATAAAAAACATTAAGGTACCACAACATGTTTCAGAATAAAGCAGTCCTTGCTGACTTGTTTTCATTAAATACAAATGTTCTTAATCCCTGTTCAAAAATACAGTAATCCCTACACCCAAGTTAGCATACAAAGCAATATTTATATTACTTTAGATGGAAAAATATATTGTCTTAAAACTATCACAGCCACTAATACATATGCAGCATAAACACTGACTAGAAGAGCCCACAGGCTCCATGTTAAAAAAAAGGCGTTGTGACTAAGCTGAATCTGTGTAATTTAGAAACAACTGAAGTTCACTTTTTTTTTTCACAGTTTGAAGAGCAGAGTCAATTTCTTTTATGCGCCCGAGTACTTTGGGCAGTTTAGAGTTCACATCTCTTAGCAGGAGGTGTCCACTCCCCACCTTGTCCATGTCCTTAACTGCCTCACCCTTGCTTATGAGTTCTTGTGCACTCAGTAGAAGTGCTTTAAGAGAAGACAGTTTGAACGAGACTGAAAATGAGATGTAGCTGATCAGGCGCTGATCCCTGCGGGGCAGGCTGCCTTCTTACGTGACAAAAAGCCCACTAACTCCTCTCTACCCTACCCTACCCAACCCCACCCCACCCCACCCCACCCCACCCCACCCCACCCCACCCACCCCCCCCCCCCCCCCAACCAGATACACCTATACCCGAAACTTATACGAGTAGAGTGGCTATAGCAAGTTAAGGTACGTTCTTGACAGGAATCGGCAGCGCGGGAGTGCTGTACGGCATTTCTGATGTCACCCCCCACTCCTCCACGCTAAAGGAAAGAAACAAAAAAGTGTAGCACTGCCAATTAACCAACTCCCTTAAGATTGCGGGTATTGTTTTCGCTAGTGGTCTGACGGCGGGAGACAACACACGACAGCGTGCACATTCGCGCACACAATGATGGTTTTGGTTTCGTTTTGACAAGACAAATTGAGCTCGAGCACAGATGTGCCTGTGCTCGCGATTCTTCACGGCTAAGCGTCCAAATATGGTAGGCTACCAAATAACAGGTAAAGCTAGTAAAGACCACTTACTTCTGCTCATGTTAATGGCCAAGGTAGCCCACCGGTGCCGAGGCACCAACTCCCACGATCACGGCAAATCGGGACGACGGGCAACTGCATGCGCGCTCCAACCGCGCCAACCAACTATGCCCGAAACCAAACCGATGTGTTCGTATATCAAGCTCTTTGTAGTAAAAAACGACATCGCACTCTCGATGAACTAAAATCGACGCCTCGCCCTTAGGTTACACATGGTTCGGAGCCCCAGTCGAGTTGGTACGAGTCACCCGCAGTGACACCTAAGCAAAAGTACACACCACATGGTGGCCCGTGGCCAACCGTTTTCCGCTAAATTTAAAGAAAACACACACAAAAAAAAAAAAAAAAAGTTGAAATTGGCGTTTTAGAGCAGGCTGGCGCAGGGAAGTGAATTGGCGCAGGGTGGTGCAATTGGCGCAGCGCTTCCACCCCTGACACCCCCTACAACGATCATCAATATCTTAACTTTTTTTTTTTTCTCGCGTAAAGCATGCACTTTTAATTTTCCGTTTCGCAAATCTTGAACTGCATCCATCTTAGCTCGCCGGCTAGACACCGAGCCCGCCAATTTTCTTCTGCCGTATAGTGAAAAGGCATGGAACAGACAAAGACGGCAAACCTCTGGCGAACCTGTAGCGTCTCTGTCGTGCCCTGTAGTTTCGTGGTGAAACAGTAAAAACACAGAATGTATGGTGTGGCACTTTGCAATGATGTTGAGCAAACAAACCCGGTATGCTCTTTGTGCCTTAACCACAAAAACATTGTCATGCATGGTGTCTTTAAAAGAAAGCCCTGCCATAGCCAGCACTCCCACACAGTGAAACGCACAGCCAAACACTAACGCAACACTCGTTCAATGCTTGCCCCGTACAGGTGTGTTCTACAATGCGGGTTCTCAAACAGCGTTTCTAGGAACCCAGCGGTTCCCCAAAGTACCCTCACGGATTCCCCCAAGTTCCCAAACTTCCTTGATCATCGGTCACGAAGTGAGGTGTTTTTCCAGTTTGAGAACTGGTATTTATTCGGATCCAAGCCCCCAACCCAGGCAAACATTTCAAAGTGGGACCAGTTGGAATCTCAACTGTTTTAAACTGGGACTAGCTTGTCCCAACTGGGGATCAGCTGAAACCAATAGGGGTTCAACTGGGACCTGCTCAGGAGTCAAAGGGCTGGAACCATTCCCAATTAGAACTCAACAGGTTTGACCATGCCCAGTTGGGGAACAGGTAGGGGTGAACTGGGACCAGTTAATCCATTAACTGGTTGGAGGAATGTCCCATCAGAGTTCAAATGATCTTCCCATTTCCAATTGGGGTCCACACAGGATGTTAGACTGGACAAGTTGGGGGTGTATTCACTTTTGTTTATGAAGAAAATTAATTAACGAGATTTATGGATTAATCAAGATAAGTAAAACTTTAATTAGGTACATTTACCGTAATATCCCGAGTCATTGCCCACCCCCCTACCGCCTGAAATTCATAAAAAAGTGGGGTGGGCCATGTCTCGGTGGGTGAGCACAAACAATTGAAAAAAAGCGGAAAAAAACGCCTATTTTTCTCTGCGTATCTAGCGCTGATGCACAAGAGATACATCAAACTCAAAACTCGATTTAGTTTCATTGTTTTATAGAAAAAAATGCTCAATAAAGAATATTTTACTATAGCGAAGTCCGTTGCTTGCATACGCGCTAGAAACACCGCCGATCTGCATATAGCGCGAACGTTTGTTCCGCGAAAGAATGTCACCACTATGTTCTCCTAGTTAGTAAAAAAAAAAAAAAAGAAAGAAAAGTCTACAAGAAAATGGAAAAACCAACCAGGCGCAACGAGCGAGCGAGCGAGCGAGCGAGCAGACCAAAGAAGCGACCAAGAGCAATGCTGGGAAAGCGGGAAAGCCGGCGGTCGTGTTGGCAAATACTTTGGCGTCGGGCCAAGTCGGGCGCCTTGTCAATTACAAGCTCTTGCGCAACTTTCTTGTTTGGTGCGTACATACGTGCGTCGGTGCACGGCGGGCTATCAATGCACGGTTGGGACGCTCTGCAAACGTCTACGTTCCAGCAAAGCTTTATTTACGCGTTGGCTTTGCCTAAAATATTGCACAACCGCGGTCGCGACGGGCGGGAAGAAGGAGCGGGTTCGCGGTGACCTTACTTCGGCGGAGACAGACTGACCTAACACTCCGCGGTTACATTAACAAACTCTTATTTTGTTATCTCCATCGTTTTCTTTTCGCACGGATACACAACCACTTCGGGGTCGCTCACGGAGGAAATGCGTAAACAAAAAGAAGTGTCTTTCCCTCCTTCGTTTTACTTTGTCACGGACGTCCTTTAACTGTAAGGTCCGCGGCCGCGTCATTCGGGTAGCATGAGTGTTCACGGATCGCTGAGTCCGCGCTGGGGTATTTGAAGGGGTGGGCGATGACTCGGTGTTTTTTCGGAAATCGATATTGGCCCAAAAAATAGGGTGGGCGATGGCTCGGGGATGGGCGATGACTCGGGATATTACGGTATATATTTATAGAGATAAATACAATTTTATTGAACTACATAACATTTAATTTTTTTAATTAGAAAAGTATAATTAGCAACATAAAATGAGTTTACCTAAATAAACAGTTATGTACATCAATCAGCATGTGTTAAAACATTTATGTAAATACCTTCATTAATTTGCTTGAAAAAATAAATTAATGTTTAGGGTAATCACCGGCTGCGGATTAGTTTTACTCGCTGTCAAGAGATGGCGCTGCATATGCTACGTGAGGCGGACACAGCGGGGCGGTTGGTAGGGGAGGGACGCCATCGCCCAAGTTGGCGCATTGATATACGAGTTGTTTTGAAAACGTACAAAATGAAAGACGTTTCCAAATCTCTGTAATGCAAAATTAGCGATCAGCTCTTGAGGAGGAAAACGGGAGGGTATGTCCCTCCTCCTCCTCCTCCTACTCCTCCTCCATCCATTCTTCTCCCCTCCTCCTCCAATTCAGCTTCCCCGCTAAATTTAACGGAGTAAATGACATCACACGACTTGATGTTACGTCACCCATGAACAGATTCAGTTTCTCCGCTAGATTCAGCAAGAAAATTGATTTAAAATTGACCTCCAACACATTTTCAATTCCCCGCTAAATTTCACGGGGAATTGAATTGGTGTTCAGGTCACGTGACAACAATTTCCACCCCTAGATCTAGCGGAGAAACAATATTTGTCCGTTAAATCTAGCGGAGGTACTGAATTTCCCAGTCAAATTCAGTGGGCAATTGAATTGGCGGTGAAGTCATGTGACAACAATTTTTCCGCTAAACCTAGCGCGGTTACGCCGTTGGCAACACCGACACCGCGAAACTCAGAATCCGGCACCTAAGAGCTGCACTCTAAAACCACGTCTGCACCTGTTTTGACTCCACTGTAAACACGGCATGGTGGCAGTTCTGAACTTCGAGGTTAGGAAGACGCCGTCCAGCGAGTGGAGGGCACCGACAGAAAAACAAACTGAAGAGAACTACGCCGCAAAGAGCATGACGGCAGAAATGGCGGGCAGTCTACCTCGGAAATGTTTGACTCATTGTGACACAAGGGATTAAAGAGGGTCGGAGCACTACCCCATCTTATCAGGACTTCATCTGTGCAACGCGGAAACACGAGTGAGCATAATTCTTTCTGCAATGGAAAGAGGAGCTGAGGACTTTTTGACTGATGCTGACAGAAACTGGCAGCCGATTTTCTTTCATCTTGAACGAGAGCATTTCCGACAAAGATCTTTCATCTCGCACAAATATTACCTCAGAAAGGGCGACTCAATCATCGCAAGCAAGTGGCTAATGAGGCAGCTGAAGCGTTCCTCACAGGACAACATGTTTCATTCAGCCCAGGACGGTAATGTGTGCGTTACAGAGCATATTATTTATTTTTATTGAGGTTTTGACAATAAAGACTGGTCAACCTTCCTCTTTGTGTTGTCAATTGTTGTTGCTAGAGGTCGCACCAGCGGGAGCTGGGATTAACTCCAACTGGGATAAGCTGCAACCAGGACCAGCTGCAACTGGGACCCACTCAAACTGGTACCCACAGCACTGGGACCGGCTGCAAATAGGAATGTGTTCCATAAGCCAGTTGGGCTGGGACCAGTTGGATCCCAGGTAAAAATTTTTGCCTGGGAACTGATGCGTAACTATGAGCCAAACAGCTCTTACAGCATACATCAATGTTTTCAAGGTCTGTAGGCTTCTGAACGCTGCTATATTGCACCACTGCGGGGTCCAAAGGGGCTTCCTCAACTGCCAATCAAGAGAGATAGAGGTTCCTGGAGATTGAAAAGTTTTAGAGTCTATGTAGAAGCGCCAGCCATATTATCATTCCGCGTTAAAATTCCTCGTGCACCTTGTTCTTGATGCGCTCTCTGCTCTTGGAATAACTTGAACCCAGTTCAGAAACTCCCTTGAAAGGTCGAGGGAAGGCACCTTGTTGTGGGCGATGCCCGCCGAGCAGTGGAAGCTTGTCTGCTCCAAGACGGCCGCCCGTACACACTCCACCAGGGCACAGCCGCGGGCCAGCAAAGAGTCTCCTCCGCCGGGGTCTACGATGGTCGAGAGCCACTCTGCCACAGCCTCCTCTGTGCCACAAACGACGCAGGCTTATTGTTCAACGTTACTACGTCCTTTCAGACTTAGGGCTTCCCACGAACGCTACAATGAGAGCCTTCGAAACCGTGTCAGAATCTTTTGTAGCGGTGGCACTATAATGCATCTGGCACACGTCATCTTCTAGTAACTGCAAGCTTTGGACAGAAACCAAATACTGTCGGCACTATGCTTTAAAATGCCGAATCTACGAAAGCCCAATACGGCTTTCAAAAACAAAAATCGGTGGAGCTAACGCCTCTTAACATAAAGGATAAAATAGTTGAAAATACTGACAACAAATTATTTACTCTTCGTCTCTTCTTAAAGGGATTGTCCGGTCAAATTTTGTATTAAAAAAAACAATTGAATATCATTGTTATTACCTCGAGACGAATCGTACGTCCAATATCTGAATTTTATGTGCTCCTCTGCGTGAGTAATTGAATTTATACTGCTCCAATCGCACTCTAGCATAAACGCTGTTTTCGGTGGCAACATGGGAGCTGTGACGTCACACAACACAAAGCGAGCATTTCTGTCTCGTCGTTTACCTGCTAGTGAACGCTTCAGTGTGCTTCGTTTTTGATGTTGTGCTCGACTTATTTCGTGGTTGGGTGAGATTTTTGTTGCACGGTTGGGTGCCACAACCACCGAGCAGCACATGCGAGCCAAGACATGATGTCCCACACTTTTCCGCGAGATGTGCAGTGACAAGCAAAATGGATCATCGCCGTGCGTGGGGACTGGGTTCCCGTCGAGATCGAGATCCCGCTTATGCAGCAATCATCTCACAGAAGAGAGCTATGAGCTGAGCTCTAAGCGGACAGAAGACTCGTAAGCTGAGGTGTGATGTTGTGCCAACGATATTAAACTACGCCCATCCACTCCTCGCCCAAATCGGATCAATCAATTTGTTTATGCAGCGAAACCGAAACCAACAGCTAATTCACCTGGAAGCGATACCAGAATTTGTATTTAGCACGCGTGCAGCCAAATTCTGTTTGACCCGCATGTGCAAATAGAGCGTGGCTACGATTCACCAATCTCGTCCAAGTCAAGTGGCGACATGCATTATTTAAACGATTCGCCGGTCGCCTTCGACCCGCGGTCATCGCCTCTGAGGGAAAGACCTGCAGCCTCATCACCGATCCAGTGGATCCACCGATATGTGTATCCAGATATCGCTTCGTGTACAGGCCTCGTCAAAGTAAAACGGAGCGCCAGAGCGGCGACCGAACTGTTCAATCGCCGATCCGGCGCTCCGTTTTACTTTGACGGGACCTGTACCTAGTTGTCGCTTCAGAGGCGAAATCTGCATCGTCTGCTTCGCAAGCGCTCCTAATTCGATCGGTGGCCGTCGCAGTTGTGTTTGCGCGAAACGGCATACATTTGCTTGAAGCTTATGGCTGTTTTCGAGTAATATCCTGCTAAAGCGCGTGACTTTTTTTTGCACACGCTTGAACTGCATTCAAAGAACCGTATTTCAGTAGGGTACAGCCCAGGGCAGTGGTTCTCAACCATCGATGTTTCGCGGACCCCTTGTGGATCGGCGGAGATGATGGAGGACCCCGTTCGTGGTGAGAGGAGAGGAAAGGTATAGGTTAAATATAATAATAATTTGATAAATGGATATAACTAAGGGCTAGTGTGAAGTAGACCTCACTTATTGACGTTCACACGAAAAAACTCGCCCGAAAACTGAAACATTTCTTTTTGACCTGAAAAAAAAAAGACAACTTTTATTTTGAAAAGTAGTGAAAACGCACAATAAAGACGAGGACGAAGATGGAAAGGCAAACTGGACGAGCGCTGACTATCTACTGAATTTTGATTGGAAAATAAAAACGGCAAAACAGAAACAGCAAAAGCCACAAATACAGTGTAGACCGCATATAACGTATGTCTCGGGAGTCGCGAAAATCCGCACTATAAGCGGTACCGCACTATAACCAACATCAATTTTTCAGGCCAAAATACATGCCATGAGAACACTTACCTTTGTAAAAGAATTTATTTTATGTTAGATGAAAAAATAAGCTTAGTTTGAGGGAAGTCTTTATTTCAATAGACTAGCACAGTTATGTCTCAAGTGTGTCACACATTTTAAAAGAAATTAGCGGCTTTTGCCTGGCGCAGCCTTTTAACGGCGTCACGGGTTGCGGACGGACGTTGCGAGCGTTCAGGATTGCTAACCCTAATCACTTTTCTCCGAAGATGAAAACGCATGAAAATTCGCATCCTTCATACGGTACGCGCCAGTAATACCTTGAACTTGAGCACACGCATGAAATGCGCCAAATAAGAAATCCGGGCGATGTTCGACGACACAAATGCTTAGAAATCACCACTGTAGTTGAAGTAAACAAACACAACGACACGGGCGTTTCTGCTGTCTTGAGAGCGCCGCCACGACATCGCCGCACGAGTAGGTGGATCTTCCCTTCTAGTACGTGCTGGGTTATCATAGCGACATACAACGAAAATTCAGAGTCAAAGATAGCGCTTTTACGCAGAACGATGAGATGCACGCCCTCTACGACGACGATCACAACCGACGCCATGTTTGCGGAATAGAAGCAGCCGGCCAGCGACCGGCATGCAACGCGCGCGAACACTTCTCCTCGACCTGCGATTGGTCTGTCGTTGCGGTTGTTTGTATCTTTGTTTCCAACGCAGCGGACGGACGCACGCACGTGAACGACTCTTGCGTGCGTCCCTCCGTCGCTATGGCAACTGAAGCCTCTCTCTTCGCTTCTCCCCGCGTTTTCGAGCAACCTCCTTGCCTCGCGAGTGCTACTTTTTCAACATGCATAACCAACTCGCCTGCATCGCTTCGTTAGTTCAACTTTTATTGCCGGGCTTGACTGATGAGGCAGGACTTCGCGAACCCCCATTTGAGAACCACTGGCCTAGGAGACTATAGAATTCGAAGCAAAATAGAAGACATCCATCGACCAACGCTTGTTATCCCGACCATCCGACAAGCCTTTGCTGCTTTTGCGTTTCGTGACGTCACGCCGCAGCTACGGATGTCAGCCATTGACACTGGCGAAATTCGGGGTGCAGTTCCGTACATACGCTCATGAAAGGTTTAGTTAATAACGGGAGATCATATATCAAAATAAAAATGTTGTTTGTCTACATGAAGGCTCCCTCGGCGAAACGAGCGCCAAAACTTGAGTACTTCCGTTTTCGACCGGACAATCCCTTTAAATTTAAGTAAAGCTTTTGATACTATGCAGCACAATATTTTACTTAAAAAGCTTGAAATTTGCAGTGTGCACGGATTAGGTCTAAAATTAATTGGAACGTATCTTGCAGATTGTTACGAATATTTAGTAATAAACGGCGGATCGTCAAATCGATTTAAAATACAACATGGTGTTCCTCAGGGGTCAATTTTAGGTCCACTTCTTTTTCTTAAATACGTTAATAATATAACGACTATATCCGGTTCCCCCGATCTAATTATTTATATGCAGATGATATTAACATATCTTTTTTGAGTGACGAAAAAATGCCAAGAAAATGCTGCAAATGTCTACCTATTGAAGCCATCAATTGGTTACAAACAAATTGGTTAAAACTAAATACAAGCAAAACAAAGTATATTATTTTTAGGCCAGTAAATATACTCGACTGCAGCCCCATAAGCTTAAGATTTGAAGACACTGTGCTTGAGCAAGTGTCGGCACCAAAATTTCTTGGTGTAAGGTTTACTAAGGACCTCTCATGGAACACTCCCGTGAATAAACTCAAAGGTGAATTATCTCATGTTACAGGAAGTATATATACGAAACTGCCCACGTGGCTAAAACAGGTATATACGTAAAACAAATATCTCATGTAACGGGAAGTATATATACGAAACTGCCCACGTGGCTAAAAAGTATATACGAAACTGCCCACGTGGCTAAAACAGACGTTGTACTATTCTTTGCTGTGCTCCTATAAAATCAGTTACTACATCTTAGTTTGGGGGACGACGATCAATTCGAACTATGTCAAACTTATCACTTTGAGTATACCAATTGCTGAATGTATTCATTCGCAATGTTGACTGTTGAACTGTTGGAGGCAGAGACTCTGTCAGGCTTCACGCCTTTATCTCTGCCTCAGGGCGAAAAAACCCACCAAACAAATAAATTTAAAAAAAACATAATAAAGGAAGAGGAGGATGTAACATTAAAAAAACTGAGAAATAGCAGAAAAAATGAAAGCCGTTTACAACTCCCTGTAACACCGAATTAGAGCGCAGCTCTTGAGGAGGAGGAGGGAAGGGTACTGGGGGGGGGTGGGTCAAGAGACCTCGGGGGGCGGGGGGGTCACGTGACCTTGGGGGTCACGTGACCTTGTGGGAGTCACGTGACCTTGGGGCGTCACGTGACATCGGGGGGGGTCAGGTGACCTGGGGCCACGTGACGATGCCGATGACGTCATCAGTGATGATGACGATGACGATGCGGATGCCGGTGACGTCATCAGTGACGTCACTGATGACGTCATCAGTGGCTATGACGTCAACGGGGGTCACGTGACCTCGGGGGGTATCCCCAGGTCACGTGACCCCGGGGGGGGGTCACGTGACCTGGGTAACCATCGTGACCCTCGTGAGGGTAACCCTAGTAACCCTCGTGAGGGTAACTCTCGTGACCCTCGTGAGGGTAACTCTCGTGACTTTCGTGAGGGTAACTCGCATAACCCTCGTGACCCTCGTGAGGGTAACCCTCGTGAAGGTAACCCTTTTGAGGGTTACTAACCCTCGTCACCCTCGTGAAGGTTATGAGGGTGAGTAACCCTCGTGAGGGTAACCTTCGTGAAGGTAACCCTTTTGAGGGTAACTAACCCTCGTAACCCTTACGAGGGTTAGTTACCCTCAAAAGGGTTACCTTCACGAGGGTTACCCTCACGAGGGTTACTTACCCTCGTAACCCTCACGAGGGTTAGTAACCCTCGTGAGGGTAACCCTCGTGAAGGTAACCCTTTTGAGGGTAACTAACCCTCGTAACCCTCGTGAGGGTTACGAGGGTAAGTAACCCTCGTGGCCCTCGTGATCCTCGTGAGGGTAACCCTCATGAGATTAACCCTCGTAACCCTCATAACCCTCGCGAGGGTTACGAGGGTTGCGGTTACGCCGACGCCGACGCCGCTCAAGCCGGGAACGGGCCCCTAAGAGCTGCGCTCTAAAAAAGAGGAAGTTGCTGACAGGAAACCAAAGAAACCACCTCAAGTAGGAAAGTCAAGGTAAAGAAGTTCTTTGTCACTTAATGCAACTGATGGTGCACTGACACAAGAGTTGTCCTTTTCTTTGATGGTCATTGCATTGTATAGTTCCCTGATCTCTTCTCATGGAACCTTAGAAAGACCTTTTTTTTCTGTCAGTTTAGGTTGTAAAGTGACAGTCTCTTCCGCGCACTGCAGGATGCCCCGATGGTGTTGATTTGAGTGCGGAAGCATGTTCACGTAACCTAGTGTTCCCGCAGCAGCCTGACTGACCAACATATACTCTGCCACAGGTGAAAGGTATATGTAACCTGGCTTTTGCAAGGTATTTACTCGCATAATGAATGCACCCCCCCCCCCCCCCGCCCCCAACGGGTACCAATATTTGGACTTTTTTTTTTTGCCCTACCGTAATAAACACACCTCCAATTTTTGGCTCTGCAAGTCTCGGATTGCATCCAACTCACCAAGCCAATTTTCTTCTGCCGCCAAGCGGTTAGGCCAAGTCAAGCCAAGACAAGCCGCTCTCGTAATGGCTGCAAGTGCATAGTTGCGGAAGGGATCAATTGTGAAACCGAGCGGCGCGCACACTTGACAAAGCTTGGGTCGAGGAACTGCTCAGCCGGGGACATTTTTCGCCTATCGGATGCACTGAGTCAACAAACACGCCGTGGTCTTTGGTCCACTTTCGGACAGTGAAATCGGGAAAGTGCTTAGGCCTAAGAATGGTCACGTCGTTCTCCGTGCTGAGTGAGCTTCTTAGGGCGCTTTTCCTTCGGCATAAGGCAGCCCGAAAGCGCCCTAAAAAGGTTTACAATTTATAGAGCATGGTTATTGCGGTGCGCCCCCAACGAGCCGTGGGTGCGCCTCCATCACTGGAGACGTGCCACAGGACCTTGCCGTGTCATACTGGCACCTAATATGACATTTGCACAAAGTGTGTAAATGCAAAATTTTACCCCGTGTAATGAATTCTTCCCCCCCCCCCCCCCCAAGTGTGTCAATTTTTTGGGAAAAAAAGTTAGTTCATTATGCAAGTAAATATGCAGGGTGTCTAGCAAATTATTATTTTGAAGTTCCCTGAGAATTCCAGGTGAAATTCCCTTACCACTGTTGAGGCGGTTAAATATATAAGACGATTACAGTCGAACCTCGTTATATCGAACAGTGCGAGGACCGTCAAATGGTTCAATATACGGTAATCAAAATTCGTTATACAAAATCACACACAAAAAAAGCGTCTAAGTACAGAGTGATTTAATCCCTAAAAGGCTAACGGCAAAAATGACTACTCATGCGAAGCGTTAAGGTGAACTATTGAAACTACTGTTGAAACTCAAGAAACCACAAAGTTTCTTGAGCTTGTCTGATGCTGAGAATACAACAGGGATGTCAAACCTGGAAGCTTCCTTTTTTATGCTGTGTGATACCTGGTGGATGTAGGGCATCACAGCCGGGCATTGTCCTTTGTACTTGGCTTTTTCTTTCTGTCTGTGGGAGTTAACCATTCTTTCTACAGCATCGTACAAGGCGGTACAGTTGAATCTCGTTAATTCAAACTCTCTTAATTCAAACTTGCCGATAATTCAGGGTCCCATCTTATGCGTCTTTATGGGAGAAAACTCCTGGTAATTCAAACTTTGCTTTATTCAAACAAATTTTCGGTCCCCCTCGAGTTTGAATTAACGAGATTAGACTGTACTTGGGTATCCAGAGGTCTTGAGTAGTGTTTGTGCCTCAAAGCTCTGTCCTGCCTTGTGGTCACATGACTTCGTGAGGGCTGTGCTAAGATAGTTGTTGATAATTGCCATTTTAATGAGTTTTGAATGGGAAGACTCAGTGCATACTCCGTCAATGTGTACTTGACTCAGACTCCGTCAGTGTGTACTTGACCTTTGCAATATTTATTTCTAATTTGCATCAAATACCTGGCATTACCTGACGCTTCAGTGCTGAGTGAAAAAGTTTTTTCATAGGCTGAAGGAGTTGTTTTTGCTGAAAGGGAATGCCTCCTACCTGACCATGAGCAGCAGTTGATTTTTCTGCATGACAACTTGTAATCTTCATCCCTACAACTAAAATTTTTGTTTTTCTGCTTTTGTTCTTGTTAACACCAGTGAGTCGTTCCAACGTGAAAATAAAAGTGCTGCGAATAAATGCACCTGCCTTCGACTATTCAATTCAATATTCAAAGCTAACCATTCATATTCGATTCATATTCTAAAATATTAATACAGCCTAAGCTCGTTATAACAGACCTTGATTTTGACCAAGATTTCGGTCCGTTGTAAAAAAAGTAAGTTGTATGCAGATATGAAGTTTAGTCAAGGGTGCATAAAGTGAATATCAACCGAAGTTCACAAATCGGTATGTTATATCCAAACGTCTTTTGTAACCAGGTCTGTTATAATGAGCTTAGACTGTATTTGCACACCCCTCTAATTTTGCAAAGGCACATCTGACAAGCTTCACCGAATGGGACCGGCATGTTAGAGATAGCGTCTGGGTTGACTCGACAGGCTTGCTCGCTCTTATAGGTCGACACTGCTCGCTTTCGATCATAAATCGAAAGGGATTGTGCCATCCTCGTAGGCACCTTCGACCCAGCTGAAAGGAGAACACAAGCTGTTCGACACAGCAGACAATATCACTTGCTGGTTCTCCCCTCCTTCTCCCCTGCACTCGGTGCGCAGCAGCAGACAGAACTACGGCAATTTTTTAACGGAAGGTAAAGTCGCACCTACTATCACATGGTTTTTTAGGGTGCCTAGATGAACACTTTCGAGTCCTTTTGAATTCAAAAACCCCTTCGGCTTCCTGTTAAAGGGCAAAACGGCTTAGGCAATCAATAGTGCCGTGCAACCGTGAACGAGAACAATGTCGACACACCATGAGGGGCACGGGTGTCTCACCTCTGGTGCGCACACCCCGTTCCTCGAGGTAGCCCACGACGTGCGTACTGGGGAGAGAGTCCAGGGAAGGAAAGGCCGTCTGAGTGGCCACCACGGGCGTCAGGTCGAGGTAGGCCTCGTCGATGCTCGCACGCTGCACCACTGCGCCAAACTGACACAGCACGGAGAGCACCTCGGCACCGGCATCCCTGTACCTGTGCCAAGGGGGAAGTGGCGGTCGGTCAACGGTCATGGGTCTACGCTCGGCGTCCGCTTTTCCGGTACTCGTTGTCCAGTACAGAGTAGTTTCAACAGCGCTTCAGCCCCACGTCGCTGCGAGAGCATGCAGCTTCCCGTTGTCTTGATCGCGACTTGCAATTTGCAGCTCCTAATTCTTTCTCCATTCTCGCACGCACGACAAGTCAACGCCATAGCGAACATAGTTACGGCCTGCCGCTCAACAATGCGGAGCTGCGATTGACGTCTCGGAGCCCGCAAAAACAAAGCAAAGATGGCTACCTTCAAAATGGAGGAGAAGGTAGAGAGAAGAATGTCCCTAGGAAAGACCAGAGAAGAGGAACTAAGGAATCTATCACTAGAAATATGCGTTCATTGCTGTGGAACCACACTGTCTGCCGAAATATGCATACAGTCAACTCATTAACTCAAACTCTCTTAATTCAAACGTGCGGATAATTCAAACTAATATGCATGTCCTATCCTATGCATCTCTATGGGAGGAAGCTCACAGTAATTCAGACTTTACTTTATTGAAACAAATTTTCGGTCCCCCTCGAGTTTGAACTAACGAGATTCGACTGTATAACCCACACCTCTAATTTGCCTTTGACTTTTCATAAATTTTTATGCGGGTTATACATAAGAAAATACGGTATGTTGAGAATAAGGTGGGCACATGCAGTGCATGTGTGTGTGACATTGTGAGGTCACATGACTGTGACATAACTGTACGTCACAATGTCACAGATATTATTATGTCACATGGCATCAGAGTCACGTGATCTCATAACGTCATAGGACGTCAGGATGACATCCCGACATTTAACAAGTATGTAGCGCCCCCCTCCAGTCCGCCCGTCTGCGGCCGCCAGGCTCGGCGGGCAACATTGATCACCGCGCCCCAATAAACGCCGTCGAGCACACACTGCTCCGGTCAGACATCGTCCACCCTCAACCAGGCTGCGTGTCGTCTCTCCTCGGCGGGTGCTTCGGCCCTTTCGTCCACGTTCGAGAAAGATCGTGACGCTGGCGACGAGGAACCGTGGCACTGGAGGCCACCAACGTGCACGGTTCGGCCCACGCCGCCGAGAGAGTCGCAACACCGCCGCCCGCTCCTGTCGCCATGCCGCTCTACGGGAGGCTCGAGCCGTTCGACGGAGATGGGTCCGCCTGGCCAGTCTACGAAGAACAAGTCCACGTGTTCTTCCGGGCGAATGACACGCCCGAGGGGAAACAACGGGACATCTTCCTGGCCAGCTGCGGGACCCGTGTCTTCAGCCTCCTGCTCGACCTCCTCAAGCCGGCCACGCCGCACGTCAAAACGCTGGGTGAGCTGCTCGCCACGCTGCGCTCGCACTTCAGCCCGGCGCCGTCCACGCTTATGGAGCGGTTCCGCTTCAACAACCGGAGCCGCCAGGACGGGGAGACCCTCGGGCAGTTCGTCGCTGCGCTACGAGGGTTAGCGAGCACCTGCGCCTTCGGCGACCAGTTGGACTCGCTACTCCGGGACCGGTTCGTCTGCGGCATCAACAACTCCGCCATGCAGACGAGACTCCTGGAGCTCCCCGACCCCTCGCTGGACGACGCGGTGAAGGCAGCGCTGGCGATGGAAGCAGCAGCGAAAGACGCCAGCGAGATAGCGCGTGCGGCCGGCTCACCGTCGACGGAAGCGGCGGTGAACAAGATGGCGGCAAGGAGCGGTGCCTGCAGCCGCTGCGGTGCTGCCCACTCCCCCTCACAGTGCCAGTTCGTCCAAGCACAATGCTTCACGTGCGGGAGAACTGGGCACCTCGCACGTGTCTGCCGAGGGGGAAAGACGAGCGGCGGCCAGCAGCAGCAGCAGCAGCCTGGTTCAAGCCCGGGTTCCAGCCAAGCCCGCGGCCAGGGTGGTCGTCGCAAGAAAACGCGGCGGGGACGAGCGGCACCAGGCCCGGGTTCGTCGTCAGCTAGGGTCCACGTCGTGGCCGACGAGCCGCAGATCTTCGACGTGTGGCATTTGAATAAACTTTCGCCTGTGCCACCATACATGGTGTCTGTCGAAATCTGCGGCCACCCCATCACCATGGAGCTGGACACAGGGGCCAGCGTGTCGGTCATGCCCGGGAAGCTGTTCAAGCGGACCTTCCCCGGCGTGTCCATCGAGGCGTCAGACGTCATGCTGCGCAGCTACTCCGGGCAGCTTTCCCAGGTCCAGGGTCGGGCCCAAGTCAGCGTTCGCCTTGGCGACAGGGAGGCAACCCTTCCCCTTTACTTAACCAAGGGGTCGTCGCCGACGCTGCTGGGCCGAAACTGGATTCACTCGCTGGGTGTTCGGCTGCCAGAGTACCAAGAAGCTGCGCTGCACGTGGTGAAGGACGTCCCGAGCCTCCTGACCGACTTCCAGTCCCTGTTCCAGCCAGGGGTGGGCACCTTCGCCGGCACGACGGTCGGCATCCACGTACCCGAGGGAACCCGGCCTCGATTCTTCAAGCCGCGTCCGCTGCCGTTTGCCCTGAAGGACGGGGTCACCCAGGAGCTGCAACGGCTGCAGCGAGAGGGTATCCTGGTGCCCGTCAAGACTTCCGAGTGGGCTGCACCAATCGTTCCAGTCCTCAAGCGAGACGGCCGCGTCAGGATCTGCGGGGACTTCAAGGTCACCATCAACCCCGTCGCTACCGTCGAAAAGTACCCGCTGCCTCGGGTAGAAGATCTCTGGTCGGCTCTGTCCGGGGGACAGAAGTTCTCCAAGCTCGACCTTCGAGATGCCTACCAGCAGCTGGTGCTCCAGGATGCCGCCCGGAAGTATGTCACCATTTCGACAACCATGGGACTCTTCCAGTACACGCGCCTACCGTTCGGCGTGACCTCAGCCCCAGCCATCTTCCAGAGAGAGATGGACAACCTCTTCAGGGGCATGAGGCACGTGGCGGTGTACTTGGACGACATCCTGGTTACCGGTACCGACGACGGGGACCACCTGCAGAACCTGCGCAAAGTCCTGACACTACTACAGGACGCCGGTCTCAAGCTGAGGCTGGACAAGTGCGTGTTCCTGACCCCCAGCGTGGAGTACCTGGGACACATCATCTCCCAGGCTGGCCTGGCCCCGGCAACTCGCAAGATTGAGGCCGTGCTCAAGGCGCTGAAGCCCAAGAGCAAGAAGGAGCTTCAGAGCTACCTCGGCCTCATCAACTTCTACAGGAGGTTCCTGCCCAACCTGTCGACGCATCTGGAGCCGCTGCATCGCCTGCTTCGTGATGGGCAGCAGTGGGCTTGGAAGAAGGAGCAGGACTTGGCCTTCCAGCGCAGCAAGGAGCTGGTCGTTAAGGCTCCAGTGCTGGTGCACTTCGACCCGGCCAAGCCTGTAGTCCTCACCGTGGATGCGTCGCCGTACGGGGTAGGAGCCGTCCTGTCGCACCGGGGTCAGGATGGTCAGGAACACCCTGTGGCGTTTGCTTCTCGTCGACTACATGCGGCAGAGCAACGCTACAGCCAGCTCGACAAGGAAGGCTTGGCCCTCATCTTCGGGGTCCAGCGCTTCCATCAGTACCTGTGGGGCCGGCAGTTCGAGGCAGTCACGGACCACAAGCCGCTGCTGGGGCTGCTGGGACCTGACAAGGCAGTCCCAGTGCAAGCCTCGCCTCGAGTGGTACGCTGGGCCTTGACGCTGGCAGCCTACAGGTACAAGCTGGTCTACCGCCCTGGGAAGGACCTGGGACCTGCCGACGCCCTGAGCCGCCTGCCCCTGCCGGAGGTGCCTGCTGCCGTTCCAGAGCCAGCTGACGTGTTCCTGCTGGAGCGGGCCTACCCGGGGGTGCTCACCAGGACTGCGGTGGCGCAGGCGACCAGCCGGGACCCGGTCCTGTCTCAGGTGGTCAAGGCGGTTTCCCGAGGGGAGGAGCTGCGTCACCAGGCATACAGCCACAAGACCGCCGAGCTGAGCTTGGAGCAAGGCTGCCTCCTGTGGGGTTCCAGGGTGGTGATTCCACAAAGTCTGCGGGCCAAGGTGCTGCAGCTGCTGCACGCGGGGCATCCTGGCATCGAAAAGACCAAGATGGTGGCACGGTCGCACGTTTGGTGGCCTGGCTTGGACCAGGACATCGTGCACCAGGTGCAAGGCTGCCAGGTCTGCCAGGAGAACCAGCGAGCCTCGCGCCACGTGGAGATCACCCCCTGGCCGTTCCCACAGAGGCCGTGGTCCCGCCTGCACGTGGACTATGCGGGACCCTTCAAGGGCCACTACTTCCTGGTGGTAGTGGACGCCTTCTCCAAGTGGGTGGAGGCACTGCCAGTCACCAGTCCCTCGGCAAGCGCGACCATTGCGGCTCTGCGGCAGGTCTTCGCGGCGCAGGGATTGCCGGACATTATAGTGTCTGATAATGGTCCCGCTTTCGCCAGCGCCGAGTACCTGGACTGGCTGCAGAGGAATGGAATCCGCCGGATGCTGGTTCCGCCGTACCACCCCGCTTCCGATGGTGCGGCCGAGCGAGTGGTCCAGACCATCAAGGACAAGCTCAAGAAGAGCCAGCCCGGGGATTTCCGAACGCAGGTGGCCCGGGTACTGTTCCAGTACCGGACCACACCCCACGAGGTCACTGGCCGTGCCCCCTGCGAGCTTCTGCTGGGCCGGATGGTCAAGACACCCTTGGACGTCTTGCATCCAGACCTCCGGTCCACGGCGCTCCTGAAGCAGCTGAAGCAGAAGCTGGCTGCTGACCGAGGGTGCCGTCCCGGGCCTTTGCCGGAGCCGGGAGCGTCGGTGTACGCCAGGAACTTCCGTCCTGGCCCACCCTGGTCTGCCGGGCGTGTGGTTTCACCAGCGAGCGCCTCATCGCTGCTCGTCCGCATGCCCGACGGGACCACCTGGCACCGGCACGCCGACCATGTCAGGCCTCGCCTCGGGACCTGGCTTCCACCCTCGGCCGTCGCTTCGGAGGACCAGCCTGCAGGGGGCCCAACAACAGCACCAGTAGCGGCCGGCGGAGCGCCATCCACCCCGGAGGCGACAAGCGTCGCCGCTCCTCAGGCACCAGTTGGACCGGTGCCAATCCCTTATCCGGTCCCTGCAGCTCCACCGGGTGGAGCGCGACCGGGACAGGCAGCGTCCGGCGTTGCCACACCTGGCCCGTCGACACCAGTGCCCAGGCGGAGTGCACGGCAGCGGAGGCCACCTGACCGCTACTCGCCGGGGTGACCTTCATCGTCGACAGGCCGGGACTTTGCATGACCAGACGCCGAGATGGTGTCGGTCGTGCGCGTTGTTTATTCATTTATTTTGTTTTAGGAAAAACAAACTGGGGGGGAGGAGTGTAACAAGTATCCGCGCCCCAATAAACGCCGTCGAGCACACACTGCTCCGGTCAGTCATCGTCCACCCTCAACCAGGCTGCGTGTCGTCTCTTCTCGGCGGGTGCTTCGTCTCTTCTCGGCGGGTGCTTCGGCCCCCTTCGTCCACGTTCCAGAAAGATCGTGACAGAGATCACATGTGATATTACATGTCAAGTCACACTGTCATGTGACACCATATGACGTCACATGACTTATGATGTCAGATGACATACAATGTGACATGACTCTGGGATACTACGTAACATCACAATATTGTGTGATGAAATGACGTGCCTCGCCAAGCGAACGTGCAGTCAGGCCCAGGTATAACTCACTCAAGTATTTCGAATTATTGCTTATATCAAACAGTCCAAACATCCCCTTGAAAATCACATGTAATACTATAGGAGTGCTGTCTGTCTTTTTGTATCCCACTCCTATGGCAGGGACAATCGATATACATGGCTTGCATTGACGTCACATCAGCCGCCATTGCTCCGTACCGTTCTCCTGTACCCGTAAATTCTGCAGCCTACATTTGACACAATTGAATTTGTTTTTCTGGTTAAGACTTGCCGAGAAGAGCAGATTCGATGGTGCCAAATGTATGCCGCAAAAGGCTCCGTACAGGAACCTGGTACGGAGCAATGGCGGCTGGTACAGTGCCATATGACGTCACGTGCAAGGCATGTATAGCGAATGAAGTCGGCAGCCCGTTGCTTTTTCCACCATCCGACTGCGCCAGTGGCAAGCACATGGCTTGCGTCGCGGCACTGCCAGACCGCCAAGCCAGCATACGCGCAGTAAGAAACACAGCGAAGGACCAGTTGTGGAAAGAGAAACAATGAACCGTAAAAAGAAAAAAAAAGTGAAGGATGACAAAAACAAGGGTACACGCATAGAGAGAGCAGGGCATGTTTGCTGTTGGAACGTTAGCCTGTGGCTTTTTCCCGCACACTACTGATGCTGCGCAACTCCCTAGCCCCAAAATAAAATAAGCAAAAAAAAAAAAATCATTGGCAAGTTGAGTGTGTCGACAACAGCACTTCGAAGGCCTTTTCTTTGTGTACCTTTTTCTTTTGCCCCTTCTGCTTTGCCCTTCTTTTTTTTCTTTCTTTTTCTGCTGCCTGAATTTAGTGACTTTTCTTTTTTGTTGCTTCCTTAACTTTTTTTTTTTTTATGATATTTTTTTTATCTGACTTGCTTTTGCATTTTTCGTTTATTGCTTTTTTTATTATTTTCATGTTTTGTCGTTTATGCTGTGTGGAGGTCCTGGCCAGCCGCACATGTAAGCGCGGCAATGTTTGCAGTCTCTGCCAACTACGCTCGCTCTACTATATTTAGCGGCTCTTGGATGCTCTATTTGGTAAGCTCCCGTTTGTCAGGACCTTCGGTATTACCAGAGACGCCAGGAAATTTCAACTCGAGCTTAACTTATCTTTGTGTATCATATTATTGCTACATCGAACTATTGTACGATCCCCTTTGAATTCAATATATCCGGGTTCAACTATAATGATGCCATGTGGTGTCACAGTCTTTTGTGACAATTCCTCGTGACAATTCTTCATGACAGTTTTTTTTTCTCGTGGAATGTAATAAAACACAATCTATGTTAAAAAGATTGCATTCATAGCCCCATGACACGTCGTAACAAAAAAAAAATTCTCCACAAATCACCTCACAAGAAGCTCTATTCAGGTGCCCGGAGGTGTGAATGAACAGCTAAATGTTGTGCGTAGTTTTCCTCTTGTTCGACCCACCCAAACATTGGTCGAGCACAGCGTCATAAAAAAAAATGTGACATTTAGCTATTCTAGCGATTTTTATAGGAGCAGAATAAGAATTAAGGCTCGTATTTGACTGTTGTTTCCTGGCTGCCTATTGATAATTTTAACTTACGACATGCACCAACGAAGGTGAAACGCTCAAGGTCACGAGCTTTGACGGTTTCTCCCGCGACTGAAAAGCTTATTCCTCCAGCCTGTGTCCTCAAGCGAGAGGCCCGTGCTTGTAGCCTTGAAGTGGGACCATCCTACTGGTGACTGACGTGAGAAACAAGTGGGAGAAAAACTGAAAACGAAACACTTAGAGGAAAGGAAAGAGTCCACAACATTAGACTTCTATAATAAGAGCCATTTGCGGTACTTGGACATCTGAAGGGGGCTCGTAGCCACGGGATTCCTGTGGGCTGCGTCCCAGCGAGTCACAGGCCGCTTGTTTGAGACTTCTGATAAACACGTATGTGAAATGTTTCTTGTGTAATAAAACTGCTCCTTTTAGAGCGCAGCTCTTAGGGGCCCGTTCCCGGCTTGAGCGGCGTCACCGTCGGCGTAACCAAGGTCACCCCAAGGTCACGCGACCCCCCAAGGTCATCCCAAGGTCATGTGGCCCCCAAGGTCACTCCGAGGTCACGTGACCCCTCCCCCAGGGTCACGTGACACCCAAAGTCACGTGACCCCCCGAGGTCACGTGACCACACCCCAGGGTCACGTGACCTCCCCGATGACGTCATCGTCACTGATGACGTCATCAGTGACGTCACTGATGACCTCATCATCATCGTCACTGATGACGTCATCTGCATCGTCATCGTCATCATCACTGATGACGTCACCGGCATCCGCATCGTCATCATCACGGATTACGTCATCAGTGACGTCACTGATGACGCCACCGACATCCGCCTCGTCATCATCGCTGATGACGTCATTGGAGTCCGCATCGTCATCGTCACTGATGACGTCATCAGTGACGTCACTGATGACCTCACCGGCATCCGCATCGTCATCGTCGTCATCACTGATGACGTCATCAGTGACGTCACTGATGACGTCACCGGCATCCGCATCGTCATCGTTATCATCACGGATGACGTTATCAGTGGCGTCACTGATGACATCATCGGCATCGTCACGTGACCCCCCCCCAGGTCACTTCACCCCCCAGTACCCTTCCCTCCTCCTCCTCAAGAGCTGCGCTCTAATTCAATGTTACAGGGAGTTGTAAACGGCTTTCACTTTTTAAAGGTATCCTTTCCAAAAAAAAGACTTCCACTTAAGGCCCATCCACGCACTTGCAACTGAGCAGAACAGGTATTTAAGCCTCTTGCAACGGCTTAGGATCGGATGTGCTGCTGCAGAGGAAGTCCTAAGCCGTTGCAAGAGGCTTAAAAACAGGTCTTGTCTCAGCTAGTCCAGCTCGGTTGCAAGTGTGTGAATGGGCCTTTAAAGAGACTCAATTCTCGTTGAATGCCAAGTATTCAAATCTGATTCTCAGTAAAAAGTTTTATATTTGTACACTTCTACTTTCTCGCATCCTTTTTTTGCCGATACTGGCCTTCACAGTATTGCAATCTTTAAATACAGTTTTTTAGCTTGGGAGTAATAAATCCAGCCTGCATGTGCCTCCACCTGACATGTGGAACAAATAAGTACTTCTTTAATTAAATATCAGTAGTATTTTTATCCGGCTTTTATTTTTGGGAGAAATTAGGTTTTGCCTCCAAACAACCTTCCCGACCAATATAGTAAGCTTACAAAGTTGCTGCCAGCTCATTAACACCGTTTAATAAGAACATTATCGGTGCTACCGAATTTGTACGGTAATTACGCTTTTTCCAGACAATATGCTCCGATATAAGAACGTGCAGAAGAGCAAAGTCATGTATTCTCACGTACCATGTGTGAACAGCGTTCTTCTAAAGCAGTAAATTGCTTTGATCGTGCAACTGCATGACCATGTTTTCACTCGGAATGACGATATGATTCCAGAATACCGAATGACTCAAAATTACTTCTGTCTCTTTGCCATTCTTGCAAACAGAGTCTAGTCACGAACACCACCTGTTGTTCTGAGGCACTGGAGATGATGATGATGATACCTGGTGAGGTCGGCCTTGCCTCGCTGTTCAGGCACCCGAAAGAGGTGCAGGTCCTTGGCGAGCTTGAGGGCCTGCTCACCTCGCATGCCTCGCTTCACCCCCAGTGCACGGGCCTCGTAGTTCACCGCTATCAGCCTGCGGGAGATTTACGTTTTTTCAAGGATGGTGGTCCTTTTAACTACCTACTTGAAGTGCGCCAAACGAGGCCCTGTGCATGAATAACTCCAGGTTAAAAGGTGGGCCCTTTGTCCATCCCAAATGTGGTGCCAGAGGTGGGATCACGCAAGGCCTCAATCGTCAGCTCGCGAAACAACTGACTCTTCTTTGGACATCAACGCGATCACAAGAATGGCCATCATAGAAACTTGCTGGTTAAACGTGTGGTATGCAAATCATTCCTGCCGCTCATGCCGCTGTCCAGAATAGATCTGTGCGTTTCATTCTTTCTAATTACCATCGTACATCAAGCGTAACCTCTATGAAAAAATGCCTATCCTTGCCAGCTCTTTCTTTACGCCGAAAGTTTTATCGATTAAGTTTATTTCAGAAAATATTTTTTCACAACCCTATACTTAAGACTGAACTCCTACTGGAGCCATCCTACATATCATCACGCAATGATCACATACATAAAGTCGAAATTCCACAGTGCCACACTAATACCTACTACAGATCATTCATACCTCGTACGTCTGCTGACTGGAATCACCTTTCCACATCCATCGCCACAATTGTTAATCCTGTTGATTTTAAAAAAGCTGTATCAATACTACTAGAAGTTGATTGTGATTTGAGTGTTCCATTAACTTGTACGTAATAATCCCACCCCCCTCTGTAATGCCTTCGGGCCCTGAGGGTACCAATAAATGAAATGAAATGAAATGAAATAATTGTTGACTGAAACAGTGTTCCAGGGTTGTTAGTCTCGATCACTGACCCTGTGGTGTATTAAAACTCAAATCTCTCGAATTATGCTGTGCACAATTAGGCTTCTAATGCCTCGTGTCATTTCTACCATTCAGTTTCCTCAAGTGTGCATGTTATTTTGTGTTTTCTTGCTTCTTTTACTCAATTGTGTAAGTTATTGCATTTCCTCTTGCTTATATATTACGCTTTGATAAGGACCACCAAAGGATCAATAAATGAAATTAAATATTGCGACTTTTTCTGCCTCATCTAAACAGTTCATTACATTCATTCATTTCACCCTTAAAGGCCCAGTAAAGGCATTATATGGGGGGGGGGGGGGGGGGGTTATGTATTGAAGAATACAATAGTGACAGAGAACAGCAGCAAAGCATAAAAAAAGTCAAAACAGCAAAAGTTATAATTAGGATTCTGTGTTTTAGGAATTTATTTTTCGCCAAATTCGGAGGGCGTTTTTTTTTTTTTTAGTTTATTTTTTTGCCGAAAATTCTGCATTTATGGGAGTTTATTTTTCTTCGACTCCCCTCCCAATTCTATGAAATTCTGAACGTAATCTTGCAGTGCGTTTATTTTAAAAAAACGTTACATGTACATGCACGTAAACGTGTGCTACCTTCAAAAAAAGGAGCTTGTATCAATTAATATTTCTTTAACTAGATTTGTTTCTGGTGCCACTGCCATCGGCAATACTAATTTGTCCACTAGCAAAGTTGCAAACAAGTGTTCTTTTGATAAACGTCGGAACCTTAAAATCAATAAGCTCCAGCAGGTGGTCGCTGGGGAGCTTGTATTCATCCCATCCGTCAACCCACCCCATGGCCATGCTCGGCAGGATGGCAAAGGTTGCAATATTTAGGTCTGAACTGCCTGCCCCCCTTCCACCTTCTACAAAATCTCTATGGTTTGCAGCTTGCAGTGTTATAAAAACACAACCCCTCCTTCCTCTAAGAAGCACTATGGCCCAAACTGGAAACCGGTAGAGAGGCTTTTGTTCTAAACTGGAAGACCCGTTTTAATGATGAACCTTGGCGGGATAAACGATAAAATTCCTTTTGTCAATGTTCCGAGATTTGAGAAAAAAAATAAACAATGGGGTGACACTTTTTTAAAACCATTAACCCTGAGACCGTCTTTTTTTGTGTGTCTGTGTGTGTGCGTGCGCTGTGTGTGTGTGTGGAGAGGGGGGGCGAGCCTTGGTACAACGAAATTCGGAGTTCATCAAATAAATCCAGATTCACAAAATATTGACACGACAGTCTTCTTTTAGTTGTTCAGATTCCTCCGAAAACAAGGAACCCTAGTTAGAGTTCAGGCTAAGGTCAACCATGCTGCGCAACACCCGAGTCCGCAGGAAGGAAAGGTTCAGAAACCTTCACGTCAAATAAAGACGTAGGACGTACCGTAAGTGTCTCCTCCCGCGTCTCCTCCTTCGACTCCGAAGATCCTCGCTCTTTCCTTGCTGCACTCTCGGGAGTTGCCTAACAAGACAAACCGTCGCCAACACTTCCACACACTCGCCGTCTCTTCGGCCGAGGTAATCGTACGCACCCTCCACCTTGGAAGGTGTTGTACTGTGCCACGGCACATGGCTTCCCCTTCCACTTGGGTGCCAGCCTCTGCTCCACCTGGACGTAGAAGCAGTCCATGTCCACCAGCGAGATGACCCGCAGGCACTTCGACGCCGTCATTGGTCACACCGGGGAGGCACACTGCAAGAGAAGAATCTCCTCACGACCGGGCAGCGAGATCAGGCCATCCCGGGGACTACCGTCGAAAACTGGGAAGGTCGGACGCACCTCGAACAAAAAGAAGAATCAGTTTTTCGAAGTACAGCATTATTACTACCGTTGCAGACACCTTAAGAAATGTGCGATTCATCAAGCTCGCGCTTCTTGCTTCGCAATTTGTTCGTCTGCATTCCTATCAATAAATGCCGCAATCTCGGCGGCCGAGGAGAGACGAAAAGCGGCTCGAGACTTGCCGTGCCCTGCACCTCTTTAGCTTCCAGTGTTTGGGAGCACCAGAAAAGCGCAATAAAAAAATAAATATCTTTTACATAAATTCAGGGGTAAAAATTGGCAGGTGTTTCTTGTGAAATTATATTGCAATTTTGGTTTTTATGTTTATAGTTGGTCTATAAGGAACAATAAAGAGTACCGATCAGTTCTAAATTGAATATTTCTTAGCAACTAAGTCATTAAAGTACACAAAACAGCTCCTAACCTGATATAAATGGTCACCTGGTATTTTAAATTTCTTTATAAAACTTTTTAGCTTATATAAAATCCACGTGCGTGGCATCTCCGTCTCCGTCCTAAAGGCCTGTTTGGTTTTTTGGAAATATCTGAATTGAGAGAACGCTCTCTCAATATCCCAGCTTTTACAAAGCGCAATGTCATTGGCCTCTGCTGCTCCTGTCAAAACAAGCTGCTCATCCTTTTTTTTATTTTGCACTAGTCGAAATGGAAGGGAAGGGCAAAAGATAATTTGCAATGGACATAAGAGAGACACCCTGCGACTCTATCTGTCACTGCAGTGCAATCAGGTCAACAAGGCCTAGCATCATTTCCGAGGTCTAGAGCTGGCGTACATGTTCCTATCAACTTTTGTTTCGTAGAAAATATTTTTGAAGCAAAGTAATTTAGAAAATGGTGAAACTCATTTTCTGAATTCAAGCGAGAATGGGGCATGGTCTGATTTTCAGAAAAAAGTGTTCAGCATGTAACTATCTGGAAATATTGGGTTTCACCCAACTTAAGTTATAGAGCAGCAGTCTCTGGAGTTGCTAGCAGCTGATCAGTGTCCTCACAAAATTGTAGTCAGCGTCCTCACAAAATATTATGATGTAATCCGTTCATGGGAACATTAGAAAAAAAAATGAACATTAGAAAAAAAAATGAACATTAGAAAAAAAAAATGAAAGAAGTAAAGAATGCGTGAAATGTTCATAAAATCATATTTTCCTGTTTCGACACTTCCTTATGCAAAAATAGTTATAAATAAAGTAAAATAATTCTGAACAAACTAAAAGCGAGTTTGTTTCACACGCACTGGCACCATTCGAGTTCTCTCCCAGAATGCATCGCACTCGCCGAGTGTTGCACGAAGAACTGGACTCGAACGAATTCGCCAAATGCACCAAGTGCAGAAGACTGATGCTGCCGCCATCTATGTTGTAGAAAAGTTACCGACCTCAAACCGAAACTAGCACCTTTCTGTTCGGAGTGATGGGTGGGAATGCGAGAGTGCAGTCGCTACCAACATTTATCTACAAACGTTGGTCGCTGCAGCCTGTAGTTTATAGATGCGATGACTTCAAGCAACTCGGCTGTCGTAGAGATAATTATAGACGGCGTAAATTTCCGCAACCAGCTGTCTACAAAGCAGCTGGTTGCAATCTTTCAATTTTTATAACCGTTTACACTGAAGAAAACTGATGATGCTGTCCGAGCAGAAGCTTGATCCGTTTGAGCACGGTATTATGCGTGAACCACTGAAAGGGCACGGCTTAAAACTAGTCTGTTGGAATATCCAGCAAAACTTTTCGTGGGACTTTCGATTTCGATCGTCATTACAAGTGGATCAGATTTTAGCCTTGGCGAGGGCGTGGACAACGAGAGCTTTCTCGAACAAAATACGACGGGGCAAGTTAGCTGACGAAGGTAAATGTTAAACATGATGATGCTGCCCAAGCCTCGAGTAAAGTCACTATGTTTAGCTTTCTCTGATGCTTATTGGCCAGTCGGAGGTTTCTGCTGGGAGAGTTTTGTCGACAAATGTTAAATTTTTCACCTGCACACGGATGGCGATAAACATCTGGGGGGCCACTGATGCATTTATTCTGAGCATTTCTTTACACACTGGTATATTCCAGCGTTTGTACGGCAACAACGACTCCTCAAAATAAAGCGCGGTTTGTCAATTGCTTCCTTCATGAAATAGCAGACGCTCACAATTCAAGCTCGCGTTTGATTATGTTGCCCACGGGACGCGATTTCTATCAGATAATCTACTCTTTTTTCCTTTCAGTTCCGCGACACATCGTAGCAGACAAACCCTCGTCTGCTTCCGCTTCTCGCCGGTCTCGCCGTAGCGAGGCATGACGGGATCGCATTTGGCGCACTCCCGATTTTCTCGGTGCAGCGAGTGCATGCACGCGTGGGGTGCCACCGCTGAAACGAACTCGGAGAGTGCAACCACTCATGGAGTGCCGGCCGAAACGAACCCGCTTTAAGCCGCGAGTGGGCACGCATGGACCCGAGTGCCGTGAAACGAACTCGCTATAATAAGGGAGTGAGAGGGTTTTAAAAATAAATTGTCTCTTCTGTGCGGGAAGTTATCAGCAAAATTAAATCTTAATTAGCTAATTTCAGTATGAGTTTCACAAAACCTTCTTATTAAAATTCTAATGAAAAAAGGTATCAATTGCTTTCTACAGAAATGCCATAGAAGCTAAAGCAATTTTTATTTCTTTAGCACCATATAATCAAGAATAAAAGTGATAAGAATGTCTAATATTGAAATGCCGGTTCTATATACCCAAAAAAGCCGTTTACAACTCCCTGTAACGCCGAATTAGAGCGCAGCTCTTGAGGAGGAGGAGGGAAGGGTTCTGAAGGGGGGGGGGTCATCAATGATGTGATTGGCCTAAGCCGTTTTGGAGCACCTTTCGGAGCAGCCAAAACAATGTTTTGGAGCAGCAAAAGTGGCCTTTGGAGCAGCCAAAACAGTGTTTCGGGGCAGCACAAGCGGCTTTTGGAGCAGATATTCTAATAAAAATAAAAATATTTGTTTTAAGTGGTGAACAAACGAAGGGCACTTTTCTCGCCACATAAACAAATTATGGTCAAGCTAGACCACCTGGGAGTCTTTCAACATGTAACTGAAATGCCAATGACATGACACATTTTGCAATGATTCAGCTAAATGACACATTATGTAACTTCTATAAATAAATAAGAACAAAACTGCACATAAGAAAATTTATTTCAAAATGATCAGCTTAGTAGTAAATATCATAGCAGTACTAAGTAGGTTGACTAGTTATATAACACAATAAAGGGAAGCAGTCTCCGACTGATGAAACACATAACTACTGCAGAGCAATGCGAAATGTTACACAAGACAAAGGTGGATTACGAGACTTAACGAGTGCTTTCCTTTTCATTTTTCAAAACTTTCTGCAAGGCTGGTCCAAGCCTCGCTTTGCCTTCGGCTAGTAATGAATATCAACTTTCAATGTCTCCAAAGAGACATCCCCATAAGTGTACAATGCTGTAGGCGTTGCCGAGCAATTCAGAAAAGCCGCAATTGCCGCCGTTTTACTGGTTTCTGAAGTGCCAGATTTTCGTCAGAAGTAAGCAAACGTAAAACAATGGATCGCAAGCGTACCAGCTCTTGCCTGTGTCGTGCAATCATGTTCGCATGCACATGAGGGCAACTTCGGCAGGCTTGCAGCTGCACGTGCTTCGTCGTGCGAGCGGAGATGGCTGTTCGACTGAAACAATGCCACTGCGCTCCGTTGCCAACTGGTTCCCAAATCTATATGCAAAACGTAACTGTCCGGCATACGACAAAAGAGTCCAGTGGCACGTGCTTGCAAGGTGAGCAGGCAGGGTACATGCTAAACACACACAAAAAGAGAACCTGAGCGCATCGATGGAAGACATCGCGAGCCAGGGTCAAAAAGTTTTTGGATCGCTTTGTGCAACGACTGAACTCGAGACAAACAAGCACGCTGTACGGGTTCAGCGTGCATACATCGCCTTTTTTGTTTCAGCTCACTTCTCTTCACCAACTTTGTTTGGCGGGATTTTTCACGTACCGGGGTCCCTCTCGAAAGAAAGCCTACCGAGAGAAACCTAGGTAATCGATACTTTGACACAGCAAACGGAGTTAATGAGAGGTTCTTGTAGTAGCGTGTGATTTAAAAAGCAGGAATGTTGATGAACATGCGGCAGTCCTTACATTTCAGTTTAGAAAGCGCACATCTGCAGCGACGTGGGGACGGCAACACCCTACGTTGCGCGACCACGGTGATTGGCAGGCAGAGACCAAATATAGTTTTCCCACAACCATTGTTTTCAGGAGCGAGTGCTTCAAGCCACAAAGTAACCCCCGCCGCGCAAAAACGCGGTTTCGTTTCACAGTATGACGGCATGGCTGGCCTGATACCCGGTACGCTACTGTCGGTGCATCCACAAATGCCTGCGTCTACCGTTGAAATTTTTTTTAAACACGCGAGACGAAAGCGTCACGAGAGACGGCGGAAAAAGCCAATGGGAAAACCATGCAAGACCGAATGGACCACTGATGCAAAGTACTTTGTGTCGGGCGGCCGCTTGCACCACCTAGCTCACGCATGCTCAATTGTGGTACTCAGTTTAGTTACGGTTTCGAAAGGAGACCAAAATTGGTCCTTTGGCGCAGGCTTGGCGCAGATTACCCATAATTTGACAAAATGTAGCAGGATGTAGCAGGGTTAGCTCCTTGGTGCAGTTTGGCGCAATTGGCGCAGCAATCACATCACTGGGTCATGTGACCTCGGGGGGGGGGGGGGGGGGGGGGGTCACGTGATCTCGGGAGGTCACGTGACCTTGACGATGACGGTCCTATGACGTCATCAGTGATAATGACGATGACGATGTGGATGCCAATGACGTCATCAGGTTGCGTCAACCTGGGTTGCATGCAACAGGTTGCAAGCCAGCTGTATGCAACAGCTTGCGTGCTACCTGTTGCATGCAACTCCCGAAGGAACCAAAGGTCCCCCCGAAGGAACCCGAGGTCCTCCCGAAGGTACCCGAGGTCCTCCCGAAGGTACCCGAGGTCCTTCGGGAGGACCTCGGGTTCCTTCGGGAGGACCTCGGGTCCCTTCGGAAAAATTTACCCATAATGCACCGCGCGGTTACGCCGACGCCGACGGCGACGGCGACGCCGCTCAAGCCGGAAACGGGCGCCTAAGAGCTGCGCTCTAAAATCATCACAATAAAAATAGCTTTAGCTTGCTGTCTTGTTTCTTCCAAAGATAATAGTACCAAGTTTATGAAAATCGGTTGAGCTTGAGCAAGTGAATAAAAAGCCTACCGAACCAAAGAATACGCGAAATAAAAAAACAAATAAAAAAGCTGGGAAAATAGATTTTGAAATTTGTGTATGCATAAGTACCAATGTTGAAGCTTTAGATGGGATGCCTTTGGTTTTAATTTCATACTAAAGGAAAGGCACGGGTAGGAGAAGCAGCCCAACGTGCAACAAGGGTCCATATCAGATGAGCAAATGACATTTTAGCGAATGACACTTTAGCAAAGATGTCATTTGAGCTAATCTACATTTTACCGAATATTTGTCATTCCAGCGACGTTTTAGCGAACGGTGTTTTAGCGAGTATACTTGTTTCGCTTCATTTTTTTCTTTACCAAAGCCTGAAATGCTTGTCTGGCTTTTCCTTTTTTACCGCGGCGGAAAACGACACGGAAATGTCTAGCTTGGTTTTAGTAAACCCGGATCACCCGCGATCACTAGGAAATAGTTACCTGTCGTCGGAAAAATCCTGAAGAAGCCCGCTATCGCTGCGATCGCTGTAACTTCGTTCGCTTCCTCGGTTCGTGCTTCTGGGATCCCAACAGAAGTTTTCTTGCAATAACGACGAACGACGAACGGCGACGAAACACAACGCAGCTCAGTCAGAATATCATAATACGCGTATCACGCAGCACAATAAGTTGCCACAGTTAGGAAATCTTTTCAGTATCAGCGGTATCAGAACGTCCCAAGTCACGAAATATTCGCCCGGAACCATGTGCGTTTGAGCGTGTCCAGGCGTGTCGAAGGAAAACAAATTGTGTTCGCTCAATCGATTCTAGGTTCCTAGATGACAGATAGTAACTCTTGGTGGGTTACTTTTGCCATGTGACAAACTCTAACGTTCTACTTGTTAAAGGGGCCCTGCAATCATATTTAAGCGTCCACCTTTTTTGCGGTTTCCGCGTCTCTTGGGGTTGGGGCAAGCCAGCGGGCACGGAGAGAGTAACTAAATATCAGTGCGTCATATTTTAACCGGACAACGCGGAAACCTCCTCCACCGACGAGGGCGACCCGCGGTACCGAAAGCGCGCAAAATCTGACGTCTTTGGTCTTGGGCAAAGTAACGTTGGTCTTGGGCTTGTCACTGGTCAAAGCCGCTAAGAGCTTTTTTTTAGTCGAGATACAAAATATAAGTGTCGCGAACCGTTTCAATTATGTATAAAAGTAGTTTTTGTTCACTATTTTAGATCAGAAAAGAAACAAATGCAGTTTAGAAAGTACGGAAATGAGAAATGACCCGTCGACATACCCGCCACCAAGCGGCGGAAAAAAAAACGGCGCATACTAGAAAAGGCTAGTGGGATGAGGCTACGACAACCAGGAGCGTATAAGGTCCCGCATGTACGCGGCGGCGCTGTGGTCGTATACTGGCTCTAGGGAGGCCTCCCTAACTGCACGAGAGCAGGCGACCGCTCTGTGCAACTCTGTCACTCTGTTGCTCCATGCGCCTTTCCTCCTCTCGCCTCCCATTGCAAGCAACGAGCCAACGAGCGCCTTGGCGCAGCCTCTCTCGCTTCCTTCTCGCTCCGAGAATTGCAAACGTCGAGTGGAGAAAGCAAAGTAGCCAGACAAGCAGCAATGTCCAAGATGGCGGAATTTACCATTTTTCGCGTTAAAAAAATACTTAACCTATCGCAACAAAACTGGTGGCTATGGAAAAGTAATCATTTATACCTTGTGTAAATTATTCAAGCACCTTAATGGGCTTATATGACCCGAGTTAGGAAAGAAAACGACCCTTTGCCCCATAGACTCCCAGCAAAATTTAGCAATTAAATGGCGTCCATGTCCCGTGATCGCCGATCTAGCAGTTGCACCCACCCTCACTTGAGCCTCCCTAACTGGCTCAAGAATCCGACCGGTTTCGAGCCTTCCGAAGGCCTTCGGCGAGGGCCCTGTTGGCAATTTGGCCATTTGGCGGTGCGTCAGCGCGAGGTGGCTCCCGTTCTGAACTGATCTTTACCCCGTGTTTTCTGTCGTTTGTGGCCAATGAAATGTTATGCCGAATTAGTGTTTAGTCGCGCTGCAAATGCAATATGAGCTGCCCTGGCCGCCCGCTTCATACAGCCTATCCAACACGTGCTTTAGTGGCGCCCTCTCGAGCCGTCGACACAGAGTGCGGCAGCCGTGTGCGCTCGATGAGCTCACTACTCCTCCTCTAGTTCAAGGCCACTCAAGGCAGGACTAGGACCTACGACGTCATGAAGGAGGTTATTTTTTGCTTGTTTTTGTAATTCTAATTTGCCTATAACTTTTAAAATAAAGCGAAATTTGAGAAAAGAAAAGTTGGATTAAGTTACCACGTTCAGTACGCTCAGGTTCAGTGCAAATTAAAAACCACTCAAAAAGTCATTGCAGGGCCCCTTTAACCCTCAGAGCAGCGGAGGCTTCATCAAAAGCGTACACTGTTTAATTGCTTTCTTTTAAACAAAAATATAATTTACAAAATTATAGTACGACTTTTTATTTTTCATTCATGAATGAATTCATATAGCGAGTTCGTTTCACTCGCACTGGCACCGTTCGAGTTCTCTCCCAGAATGCATCGCACTCACAGAGTGTTGCATGGAAAACTGGACTCAAACGAACTCGCCAAATGCACCGAGTGCAGAAGGCTGATGCTGCCGCCATCTATGTTGTAGAAAAGGTACCGATTTCAAACCGAAACTAGCGTCTTTCTGTTCGGAGTGATGCGTGGGAATGTGAGAATGTAGTCGCTACCAACGTTTATCTACAAACGTTGGTCGCTGAAACCTGTAGTTTATAGTTGCGATAACTTCAAGCAGCTCGGCTGCCGTACAGATAGTTACAGACGGCGTAAATTTCCGCAACCAGCTGTCTACAAAACAGCTGGTTGCTATCTTTCAATTCTTATAACCGTTTACACTGAAGAAAACTGATGATGCTGTCCGAGCAGGAGCTTGATCCGTTTGAGCATGGTATTATGCGTGAACCACTCAAAGGGTACGGCTTAGAACTAGCCTGTTTGAATATCCAGCACTGGGACTTTCGATTTGGATTGCCATTATAGGTGGATTAGATATCAGCCTTAGTGAGGGCGTCGAGAACGAGAGCTTTCTCAAACAAAATATGACGGGGCAAGTTGGCTGACGTAGGTAAATGTTAAACATGATGATGTTGCCCAATCCTCGGGTAAAGTCACCATCTTTAGCTTTCTCTGATGCTTATTAGGCAGTCAGAGGTTTCTGCTGGGGGAGTTCTGTCGACAAATGTTAAATTTTTCACCCGCACGCGGATGGTGATAGACATCTCGGGGGCCGCGCTTGCGTTTGTTCTGAGCATTTATTTACACAGTGGTATATTTCAGCGTTTGTACGGCAACAGAGCGATTTAAAACCTGCAAATAAATCACGGATTGTCAATTGCTTCCTTCGTGAAATAACAGACGCTCACAATTCAAGCTCGCGTTTGATTTCGTTGCCCGCGGGACGCGATTTCTATCAGAAAATCTACTTTTTTCTTTTTCCGTTCGGTTCCGCGACACATCGTAGCAGACGAACCCTCGTCGTCTGCTCCCGCTCCTCGCCGGCCCCGCCGGAGCGAGGCATGACGGGATTGCATTTTGGCGCACTCCCGGTTTTCTCGGTGCAGCGAGTGCATGCACGCGTGGGGTGTAAGCGCTGAAACGAACTCGAAGAGTGCAACCACTCGTGGAGTGCCGGCCGAAACGAACCCGATCCACGCTGCGAGTGGGCACGCGTGGGCACGAGTGCCGTGAAACGAACTCGCCAATAGATAAACCATAACGGGCTGCACTTTTTTCATTGGCACTGTTTGCTGCCACCCGGTGGTAGCAACGACTTCCGGGTAGACCCGCTTGCTGCCACGGACCAATCGGATGGCTACACACCACGTGACCGTGCTAACATACTAGATAATTAGATTTTATATTTATTTTATTTGGTATATACAAGATATATTATGTTATAATTGCCTTATAACGATATAACTTATGTTATAATTATTTGTGACGTCACAGCTTGCTTTGTTTGTGAATTCTTTCTGGCCGTTCCCGCCGTTTTCCGATTTGCTGTCGGCTGGTACCTGAGCAGGCGTGCGTTTGTGTACGGCACAGGATCTTCGGCAAGCTTCGGATATCGCCCTGAAATAATCGCGAATCGGCATTCTCGATTGTTGATTGGTTTTTTGTAGAGTGTTATTGAGGGTTGCAGCTAGTTATTTTCACTTGACATCTCTTGGTTTAGTTGTAATTGGTGCTGGTTGTGTTGGTGTGCGGGTCCCGAACTAGGCATGCCACGTGTGTTGGTAGCCGGTGATTCGATGTTGAAAGACCAAGCGCGGTCTTTCACACTGAATCCTGGCGTGGCTGTCGAGGTCAGGTCCTTTAGTGGTGTCAGGATTGAGCGGTTGTTCTCCATGATCGCTGACAGTCTGCCTGGCTTTGATGCGGTGGTCGTGCATGTTGGCACTAACAACGTCGGGGATAGTGACATCACGCGCGTCGCCAAATTTCGTCAGCTGGTGTCGCGCATCATGGAGAAAAACCCCGAGATCCAGGTCGCGTTCTCGGCCATCCTTCCGAGGGAGGTGAGCCTTCGGAAGAATGATCGGTGGGCGGTCAGTGCCGAAGTGCTGCAAGAACACAATGATGAGGCCAGGAGAACGAATCTCATCTTGCAGGAACTCTGCCGCAAGGAGGGATACGGCTTCATCGACGGAAGCAGGCAGTCGTGGAGTGGGCTGCTCATGCTGGATGGTGTCCACTTCAACAAGAAAGGCAGCAGGGTAGGTTTGATCTGCGTATTTGAGCCATAGCATGAATTTAGAACAATAAATTAGAATCAACATGTATGCAAATAACGCTAAAAGGTTGCTGTGCCTTAGATTTTCGTGGTGTCGCGTTTTCCCCTAAAGTTTCCATATCTTGGCAGGTGTTTGGACGCATCCTTCGAGGCGGCCTTCATGGTGTTGTGGCAGGCCACGGGCAGGAGGCTGAGGACCAGGAGTGGAGTCGCCATGCAGCAGAGGAGGAACACCAGGAGCTGCGTCGTGAGTATGGGGACCAGGCCAAGGAGCTTGCAGAGTTCTGGAACGGTAAGTATAACTTCCCTTCCCTTAGTTCTAGTGTCGGAGGAGGCCCAGCCTGTGTGGGTGAAGAACAGGTGCAGGGCATGTGCACTGTGACAACCACCGACACATGCACCACCAGCTGGGCCGCTGTTGTGCAGAGGCCGCCGAAACGTGTGTCACGTGGCCGTGGCGGCGTTGACGGCGTTGACAACACTGTCAGAAGTAGGGGCTGTGTGCCGCGCACACAGTCTTCACAGAACACCGAGCCCTCTCGGGGTGCCCCAGCCGCCAGCGGTCATGCCACTCGAGAGCAGAGGCTGAGAGGACTAAAGCCCTCTAGGATGCCAATGATGCTTTCTGATGGCTGTGCTCCTGCGCTTGCCGGGGGAGTGTGGGTGCACCGGAAGGCTGGCAGATCTGTTGCTGCCTGTGGTGCCTCGGTGCGTCCCTCCTCTCCTGTGGCGCAGTGCATCGACCCCCATGAGGGTGTACTGGCCATGGCCTGTCGCACCACTCGAAAGCAGAGGCGGAGAGGAACAAAGTCCTCAGGGATGCCAATGACGCAAACAGGCGGTCGTGCTCCTGCGCTTGTCGGGGGAGTGTGGGTGCACCAGAAGGCTGGCACATCTGTTGCTGCCTGTGGTGCCTCGGTGCGTCCCTCCTCTCCTGTGGCGCAGTGCATCG